CTTCAAATGTTCATTCTGCGACAGACTATTCAGTTCGAATGATGCTAAAGAAGAACACGAACACACTCACACAAAAACTAAACCGCACACATGTCAACACTGTAATAAAGGTTTCAATTCGAAATCTGCTTTGGCTAAGCACTCGCATGTTCACACGGGCAATAAACCGTACAAATGCGCGTCCTGTAATAAAGGTTTTGCTCACAAATACCACATGATTAATCACTCCTTTACTCATATAGACGAACTTCCTTTTAAATGTTCGTTCTGTAGCAAGACGTTTAGTACGAATATGTCTAAAGAGGAACACGAGCTAACGCACATTGAAGGTAAATAAACGGATAGATTTGGACGTTTCGTTTCATTGAAAACTTGTCTGTACTAAGATCTCGAAATATAATTTATTGTCGTATGCGTTGTCAGGTTTCTTTCAAATGAAAAGGTCAAATGTCGAATAAACGCCAGGGCCTAATTGTTCACCCCTACTCGGCCCATAAGCCCGAATTATACGTCTCTGTGTTATCTGTAATAAAGTGGATATTAAGTGTATAATTACTGTTGTTATTAATGAGCATTTATTTTTTAAAATAAATTCTGTTGTTGATAGCTAAAAATTATAATATTCGAGTGTTTATGTATATTTTTTTATTTACGAAAAAAAAAAGTTTATTGCATTAAAATCACATTAGGTCCAATACATTATGTGAACCCGATTCCCACATAGAAATAAAATAGAGTTTTGCGCTTTCTGAAACTTTCCATTATGTAGTAAACAGTGTTGATGTATACCTATATGTCTCAAACAATAATCTAATTAATTCCAATACATTTAAAACGTGTTTCCCTTATAGTGTCAGTGTTGAATCCTCAATAAAGATTATTAAAATTAAAATCAGTTCTTAGCAACAAATCATGTTGCAGGCTTTACCCTTCTGGTATGAATTGCGCATTGTTATTATTAATTTACACTTACTTGGTAAGCTTTTGTTATGTTATGTTATGTTAAAGCTGTCGGTATGTTTTTAATGTTACTGTTATTAAAACCGGAAAATTATGTTCCAAATGCTTTTTCTTTTATCCCTACAAATGTATGTCACTTTTACTCATTATTGCTTAGAAATATCTGAGGTCTTAAAGCATAATGTAGGCTGTACAGAATACAGGGGAACATTCTAATAAAAGCATCAGGAGTGGGAGAGAAAGTGACAGATTTAACGGTTATTTTGATACATAATTCCTTCATACTAATAAAAAATATTGAATTTTTAATTTACCATTTTTGTAACTAATTTCTTTTTGTAGAGATGATGTTTGGACCAATAGAAAGATGGAATTCAAATTTAACGTTTCTGAAGAAATTACAAGGGATGAGGTACCGTGTGAAATCTGCTTGGATGTATTTGTAAACCAGGAAACGTTACAGGCACATTATAAGTATCACGAACATCTGTCATTCCTGTATGTAGTGCTAAGAATGTTTTAAATGTCCTTACCGCATTTTGTAGTATTGTTTCATTTCTAGCGAAGCACAAAACGATAAAAATTCGAACTCTGGAAATTGTGTAAAACCAGTAGAAAAGAAATTGTATTATTGCCATCATCATAACACGTGTACGAAAATGTTCACTCAAAATGAACTTCTCATACACTGCAAGGTCCATGAGATCGAAATACACAATCCAACAGTATATTTAAAGAGAGCATTACTTAAAGAAGTAAGGACCAAGAGTAAAATTGAACAATCTTGTGAAATCTGCTTCGAATTATTTTCCACTAAGAAAGCTCTCAATCTTCATTACGAAATTCACGAAAGTGTTTACAAATGTGCCGACTGTAATGCAGGGTTTAAAAGAATTCGCGAATACGTCGTTCATAGAAGAACTCACAGGGCAGATAATATGTACCAATGTCCTTCATGTGATAGAAAATCGTCTACTATGAAAGGATTGTTAAGGCATATTTACTTCCACGAATCCTATAAGCGTTACAAATGCAAAGAATGCGACAAACGGTTTTCACATTATGGCCCTTACAATGAACACGTCAAAATTGACCACGAGGGCGAACCTTCACTGTCGTGCGATATATGCGGTGAAAATTTCAAATCGTCGCATAAACTGGCCAATCACAAATATAGAAAGCATCCTTTAATTAAATCTAGTAAAACGAATTCTTCTCGCAAAATAATGCAGAGATATAAATTGCCGCACAGTTGCAGAATGCGTTACGTATGTCACCTTTGCGGAAAGATGATTAAAGAGACGTCCTTCGACGGGCATATGAAAAGGCATAGGGATGGGAGACCGTATAAATGCTCATTGTGCGACAAGAAATTTTACTCAAATCAACAGAAAAGAGATCACGAATACACTCATACAGGAAGTAAACCGTACAAATGTCCCCACTGCAATAAAGATTTCGCCCAGGAAAGATATATGGTCATACACTCCCGTACCCATACGGGCGAACGTCCGTTTAAGTGCGCGTTTTGTGACGAGAAATTCATTTCAACTTCTCATAAGAAAAGTCATGAAAGCAAGCACACCGGAGATAAACCCTACAAATGTCCCCAGTGTAACAAAAGTTTCGGTCACAAAAGCACTTTTGTTATACACTCTCGTATCCATACGGGCGAACGCCCATATAAGTGCGCATTTTGTGACGAGAGGTTTATTTCAAACTTTCATAAGAAAAATCATGAAAGCAAGCACACCGGAGATAAACCTTACAAATGTACTCAGTGTAATAAAGGTTTCGCTCGGAGAAGCACATTTGTTGCACATTCTCGTATACATACGGGCGAACGCCCATATAAGTGCGCATTTTGTGACGAGAGGTTTATTTCAAATTTCCATAAGAAAAATCACGAAAGCAGCAAGCACACCGGTGTTAAACCCTACAAGTGTCCTCAGTGTAATAAAGGTTTTACCCGGAGAACCACTTTTGTTGTTCACTCTCGCATCCATACGGGTGAACGTCCGTTTAAGTGCGCATTCTGTGACGAGAGGTTTATTTCAAATTTTCAAAAGAAAAGTCATGAAAGCAGCAAGCACACTGCTGGAAATACACCCTACAAATGTCCTCAGTGTAATAAAGTTTTCGCTCACAAAAGCAATTTTGTGCTTCACTTTCGCACCCATACGGGTGAACGTCCATTTAAGTGCGCATTTTGTGACAAGAAATTCATTACGAATTATCTTAAGAAAAATCATGAAAGCAAGCACACTGGAGATAAACCTTACAAATGTACTCAGTGTAATAAAGGTTTCGCTCAGAAATCCTGTATGGTAGGTCACTCCTGTACCCATACGGAGGAACGTGCACAGAAATACAGATTCCGTGACGAGAAATCCATTTCAAATTTTCGTAAAAAGAGTCATGAACGCAAGCACACTGGAGATAAAAATTCATTTAAGTGCTCATCCAGTTAACGTTAGAATATTTGCATTTTACTACCTATTACATGGTTCTTTACATTACATTTACAAAATTGATCTAGAACAAACATAAGTACATATATTAATGATCGATTAAGTAACAATTACTTAATTAAGCGTAAGTGCAACCCATTTTACCCACTTTATTTTGTTGTGTTTTCGTATACTATTGACGAATGAAGAACAAAATATACTTAGAAATAATAATCAAAATTAATTAGTGCTCTTATCAAAGTGTATAATAGTCAAAGTCAGTTTTTCTATAATTTCTCTACTGTTTTGACTTCACAATCCTTTCATATTTAAGCCTACCGAAAAAATACGTTCTAAGTGGAAATATTTTTGCTGTCTGTAATAAAGTGAATATTAAATGAACTGTTGTTTTGTTATTAATAAGCAATTATGTCATAAAATAAATTCAATTGTCTATAGCTGAAAATAAAAACATTCTGAACCATCGAGAGGTGGTTCCTTACGCTCGCGAAAAATATTAAAATGCACAAGAGGTTAGTAAGTGGGAACACACTATTCACTTCAACTTTATGTGTTTTTATTCTGTTTATTTGTTGATCCACTATGTTGATTTTGGCCAGTTGTTGTGCACTTATTTTCTGAGAATTAAGGTTCAGGCTATAAGCCATGGTCAGAATGAACGATGAGGTAGAGATTATGCATCAGCTAATGGGAATTCTAGCAGTGAAAATCTATTTTCTTAATTTCGCCTACCTACCTGTTATGTTGTTTGTTGTCTGTAATAAAGTAAGGGTTTATTAATTATTTATTTTATGCTTTTAATAAACTTCTGTATGAAATAATTTAATTGTTGTTTAAAGTTTAAAATAAAAATATGAGAATGTATTTTTATCTATATTATTCTGTTTACGTTATCGTATTCATAGCATTGAAGGGATTTCAAAATAAAAAAGTGATCAGATCTCAGAACATTTAATGCAAGTATAATAATAAGTGAATTATACTCCTGAAATAAAAATGTTCAGTCTCTCAGAGTCCCTGAAGGCGAGACTCGAGTCTCCGTTTCTCATCGAGTCTCTGAACGAGAGACTCAGCCGCTCATAGAGAGATCCTCATTTCGTATCCAGTCTCTGAATGAGAGACTCGAATCTCGAATTAACAACTTTATCGTTCGAGTCTCTCATACAGAGACTGTGAGAGACGCTCTCAGAGACGCCGAAAGACTGACTGAAAGAGAAAAATTGTAATCCATTTGCTGGAGTAGGATAAAAATGAATTAAGCTGGAAAGATGTCTTCCCCTAGAAAACAAAAAGTGTCATGTTCTATAAATGTCACATGGATTCTTCAAGGCAACCAAAAATATTTTTCTTCTTTAATATAATTTGCCATTTCTTTAACCAATTCCATTTTCAGAAATTATACTTGGGCCGATAAAGATACCGACGTTAGTTTCACACCAGTTACACCGGAATTTGTAGATTCTGAAAAATATAAAAGGGAAGAAGTATCAAGTGAAGTATGCTTGGATGTGTTCGTAAAACAAGAAACGATCGAAGAATATAACTTTGACCAACATCTACCCTTTGTGTAAGTAATGCCAAAAGTATATTGAATGTTCTTACTTTCTATTTTGAGAACATCATTTGATTTGTAGGAAACTCGAAAAAGAAGTGCAAAAAGTTGAAAAGTATAACAGTGAAGAAGAAAATTATGTAGAAATAGTTGGCGCGAAGATGTATTACTGTCATCACCACAGTACGTGTACTGATCGTTTCACCCAAAATGAACTTCTCAAACATTGCAAGCTACACAACATAGAAATAGAAAACCCAATAGTATACTTTGAGAAAGCACTGCGACAAATGAGCGACAAAATCGAAGAAGCATTAGAAAACTCATCCTGCCACACGAAATTTATTTCACCTAGTTACAAATGTAATATCTGTAATAAAGATTTCACAACGAAAGGTGGTATGGCTGAACACTCTCGTATTCATTCGGGAGAACGTCCTTTTCAGTGTTCTTTCTGTGACAAGAAGTTCAGTTTGTTGAGGTATAAAAAACAACATGAACGCATCCATACGGGAGAGACGCCGTACAAATGCCATCACTGCAACAAAAGTTTCAATCAAAGAACTAGCATGGTGACACACTCCCGTATCCATACGGGCGAGTGCCCTTTTAAGTGTTCCTTTTGCGATCGGAAATTTACTACAAGCACCTATAGAAAAGCACACGAACGCGCTCATGCGGGAAAGAAACCGCACAAATGTCATCATTGTAACAAAAGTTACACTCAGAAAACCAGTTTGGTTATACACTCGCGTACCCACACGGGCGAACGTCCATTCAAGTGTTCATTCTGTGACCAGACGTTTACCACAAATGGTAATAAAACATCACACGAACGCACTCACATGGAAACTAAACCTTACAAATGTGATCACTGTAACAAAGGTTTCAATCATAAATCCCCTATGATCACACACTCCCGTACCCATACGGGCGAACTGCCGTATAAATGCTCATTCTGCGACAGGTCGTTTAGTACAAGCAATGTTAAAAGGGATCACGAAAACGCTCACACGGGAAATAAACCACACAAATGCCCTGACTGTAATAAGGGGTTTACTTACAGAAACACCATGGTTCGACACTCCCGTGTCCATGCCGCAAGGATGGATGTTTCTTAAAGTGTTCATTGTATAACAGAAAAATTAGTACAAAACGGAACACAGATAGATTCCGATGTTTCGTCGACAATTGCGGTTAACATCTTCAGTGGAAAGAGTGTAATCGTATAATAAAAAGCCGCGTAAGCAATGTCGTTTGTGTCATCCGCATTTTCCTCATATTATCTGTATTAAAGTTAATCTTAAGTGCTTAGTTTTTAATTAATTTAATTTAATTTTATAATAGATTAAATTGAATTGTGAACAACCTAATAAAATAAATATCTATACATGTATCCCTATTTACGCCACCAAAAGGCAGTGACTTTAATATTAACAATAAAAGATCAGAGCGTTTTTTTTTTCTTTCAAAATAATACGTTATGACTTGCTCATTTATTACCTATAATGTGCCACAACAGAACAAAACTTCATGCTCAGCTATGTGATGTGTACATCGCGATTTCGATCTCTTTTGATCTCATCAGCACGCCGTAACCAATTCCTACAGAACGCCGATTTGGTCATTTATGATTAATGATATGCTCTTGTTTGAAATCACAATTACTAATAAATGTTTACAAATAAAGTTCTCTACGTCATCTGGGGTTATTCAGTGACAATGTGGATTAATTCTACAAATGTTTTCGTTGTAATTAGAATTTCACGCGGTGAAGGTATATAGTTAGACACTTTTAAGTGTTCCTTTTGCGACAAGAAATTTATTGCAGGTGGTTGTACTTATAAGGAAACATGAACGCACTCACACTGATGTGAGGATAAACCTTATAAATGTACTCACTGTAATAAAGGTTTCACTTAGATCAGATATTATGGCAAGAAACTCATTATGTTTCCGGAAATTTCGTTGAAATGGTAATAAAAACTACCTCAAAAATTCTCACACTCACACGGAAACTAAACTGTATAAATGTCCCCGCTATTAAAAAAAGTTTCACTCCTAAAACTGTATGGTCACACACTCCCGTACCCATTTGGAAGGCCGTTCTTTCAAGTAATTCTGTGACAGGAAATACAATGATTATGTTGGTAGTATTATAAACTCACTTGGGAATGAAACTGTTCAAATGTGGTCACTGTGATAAAGACTTCACTTCGAAAGTCATCATGGTGTTACACACTCCAGTATCCATTCTGGTGAACGTCCTTTTACATGTGGAAGAAAATGACTTAATATTAATAGTGCTTTTGTTACATAATTTCTGCATAGTAGATGGTTAGAAATATTGAATCTTTAATTTATATACCGTCATTTTCTGACTTTTTTCTTTTTGTAGAGATTATATTTGGACTGATGAAATAATAGATATCAAAGATCCCACCCTGTTAAAAATGAAATTTGACTATCCTGAAGAAATTAAAAAAGATGAAGTACCTTGTGAAATATGCTTGGATACGTTCACAAACCAAGAAACGTTACAAGAACATTACAAATGTCACTATCATCTACCTTCTCTGTAAGTATCTACTGCCAAAAATGTATTAAGTATTTTTTGTCATCATGTTTTGTAAATGTTGTTTAATTCTAGCGAAGCCGGAAAATCACAAGTAAACAGTGAAGAGGAAAGTAAAAATTTTGTAAAACCATTCGAAAGCAAAGTGTATTATTACCAAGACCATAGTGAACTTTTCAGTCAGGATGAACTTGTCAATCGCGACAAGCTCTCCGAAATAGAGAATTCAACAGTTTACATTAAGAAGGAACTGCATAATGAGGAAAGACCATTTAGTTGTTCATTCTGCGAAAAGAAATTTATTTCAAACAGTTACAAGGAAAGACACGAACGCGCTCACACCGCGGATAAGTCCAACGTGTGTCCTCACTGTAATAAAGAATTCAATCAGAGATCGGCAATGGTTAGGCACTGTCGTATCCATACGGGCGAACGTCCTTTCAACTGCTCATTTTGCGAAAGGAAATTCAGTGACTATAGTAATAAAAGGAAACATGAACGCACTCACATGGGAAATAAACCGTATAAATGTCCTCATTGTGATAAAGACTTTACTAACAACACCAGCATGGTTATTCACTGTCGTACCCACACGGGGGAACGTCCTTTCGAATGTTCATTTTGCGACAGACAATTTACTTCGAATAACGCTAAAAAGGAACACGAACGCACCCACACGGGAAATACACCGTATACATGTCCCCACTGCAGTAAAGGCTTCACTAATAAGACCGCTTTAGTCGTACACATCCGTATCCACACGGGTGAACGTCCTTTTAAGTGCTCATTCTGTGACAAGCAGTTTCATTCGAACAAATCTAGAAAAGAACATGAACACACTCACACTGGTAACAAACCGTACAAATGTCCTCAGTGCATTAAAAGCTTCAACTACAAGGCCACCATGCTAAAACACTTCCGTACCCATACGGGCGAACGTCCCTTTAAGTGTTCTTTCTGTGACAAGCAATTCAATTCGAATAATACTAAAAAAGAACACGAATACTCGCACACGGGAAGTAAACCGTACAAATGCGATCACTGTAACAAAGGTTTCAACCAGAGAACCACCATGGTTAGACATTCCCGTACCCATACGGGTGAACGTCCTTATAAGTGTTCCTTCTGTGACCGGACGTTTGCTACAATTAATCATAAAAAGTCGCATGAACAGACTCACACGGGGAACAAACCGCACAAATGTCATCACTGTAACAAGGGTTTCACTCAGAGGTCCCGTATGATTGCACACTCCCGTATCCATACGGGCGAACGTCCGTTTAAGTGTTCCTTATGTGACTGGGCATTTACGTCAGATGATCATAGAAAAACACACGAACGCCGCACTCACATGGTAAATAAACCGGTGTAAAGGTCATCACTGTAACGAATATTTCACCCAGCAATCCAAAATGGTTGCACATACGAGTTGAATTACTTCTAACATCTCATTATGTGACAGAAATTTAGTAAAAGTTATACTTAAAGAGATTACGCGGGAACAACTACGCGAATGTCTTTACTGTAGTAAAGGGTTTACCTGCAGAACCTCTAGGGTTAGATACTCCCTAAGGGATAAACCGTAACAGTAATTAGTTTATAACCAAAATATATAAAAAGCCAATGTTCTATAATTTGCTTTTTTCTTATATGGTGTCGTTCTTTTTAATTATTCGAAAATTATGCCCATCAGCCCGAACTTAATTATGCTGGAAATTCTGGTCGTGAAAATCTTATTTCTTAATTTCGTCTACCTATACTACTATGTTAACTGTAGGTACTAAAGTGAAACTGTATTTATTTTATGCTTTTAATAAAGAATCATTTCTGGATGTAATAAATTCAATTGTTCTATTTACTTATAGTGTTATATGAAAACGAATTGTATGTTTATGTTTAGAAATGTAAGTAGGTACTTATATTTACTCTAATATTATATTAGGTGAATTTGTATAATGTAGAGTAACTTACTCAACAATTTATTTAATATTTCATACTACCTAATGAATAAAAACAATTTATTTACTCAAACAACAACTTAACAACAATAATAATACGTAGAAAATGGCAGACAATTATCATAAGGTGAGTGAAGATGGTAAGCCGCCTCACCGCCTTTCCCTGTGATCTTGGATTCAACTCCTTGAATATTATTGATTCCGTTACTTAAACGGTCGCTTACCCAGTAGGTAAGTAGGTGTTAGCTTACAATTTTAAATAAATAATGTACATGTACAAACTTTGTGTCAGTGGCTTAATAATTTATTGATACTTACTATTATGTAACAATAGCATTAAAGGGATATTTTTACCCAGAGTTTCTAAATATCAAAATAGTCAGAACTCAAAATATGTGATACGTGTATAATAAATGAAACAAACTACTAAAAGAGAAAATTGTAGTTATATAAAAATGAATTAAGTCAGAGGGATGTCGTTTCCTAAAAAAAAACTCTATGCTCTATAAATGTTGCCTGGTTCCTGCAAAGCAATAAAAAAAAATCCTGTTCAATATAATTTACATCCTTTTAACCAATTCCATTTTTAGAAATTATATTTGGACCGAGTTCATGCCAGTCCCATCGGAACATATAGATCCTGAAAAAAATAAAAGGGAAGAATTATCATGTGAAGTATGCATGGATGTGTTCGTAAAAAAAGAAACCTTACATGAACATTACAAGTGTCACCAAAATCCGCCTTTTGTGTAAGTTGTGCCAAAAGTATATAAAATGTACCTACTTACTATGTTTTATGAAATTATTCAATTTGTAGGAAACTCGAGATAGAAATGCAAAAAATTGAAAAGTACAACAGTGATGCAGAAATATTTGATAAAAAAATGTATTACTGTCATCACCACAGTACGTGTACTGACCTTTTCACTCAAAAGGAACTTCTCAAACATTGCAAGCTCCATGAGATCGAAATAGAGAACCCAACAGTATATTTTGAGAACGCGCTACTTCAAAAAGAAAAAACGAGGATTAAAAATGAAATTGGGGTAGACATTAAAGGATATAACGAGGAGGGAACATTTAAATGCTCATTCTGTGACAAGAAATTTATTTCATATAACTATAAAGCAATTCATGAATACATTCACAGTGCGAATAAAACTTACAAATGTCCTCACTGTAACAAGGATTTCACTAAGAGAAGCAGTTTGGTCGTACACTTCCGTACCCATACGGGTGAACGTCCATTTGAGTGTTCCCTCTGCGATAAAGCATTTAGTACAAGCAATATGAGAAAAGATCACGAAAACACTCACACGGGGACTAAACCATACAAATGTCCTGACTGTAACAAAGGGTTCACTTACAGAACTGGTGTCGCAAAACACTTCCGCGCCCATCACGAGCGCGTTCACACCGAGAATAAACCTTACGAATGTCCTCACTGTAACAAAGGTTTCACCCAGAAAAGCTCAATGGTTAGACACTCCCGTATCCACACGGGTGACGGTTCATATGCCTGCTCGTTCTGTGATAAAAAGTTTGGTGATGATGGTAATAAAGCACAACACGAGCGCATTCACACGGGAGAGAAACCGTTCAAATGTCAATACTGTGACAAAGGTTTCGCTCAGAGGAGCAGTTTTGTTGTACACTCCCGGACCCATACGGGTGAACGTCCTTTTAAGTGTTCACTCTGCGATAAAGCCTTTAGTACAAGCAATATGAGAAAAGATCACGAACACACTCACACGGGAACCAAACCGTACAAATGTCCTGAGTGTAATAAAGGGTTCACTTATAGAACGGGTATGGCTAGACATTTCCGTGCCCATCACAAGCGTACCCACATTGTGGATAAATGAGCGAATAGGTTCGGACGTTTCGTCTGCATTCGCTGCGGGCATCTGCAGTGCAAATTTTTATTTCGGGCGTTAACAATTTCGCTTCCATCCATAATAGTGTCGTCCGCAGTTACCGAATTTTAATTCTACTAAGGATTCCAACATGGATAGCCTTATATTTCTTTAAATTTAGGCTAGTGTGTTATCTGTAATAAAGTTAATCTAATAAGCATATTAGTTAATTGTTTTGTTTATAATAAGCATTAATTTTAAAATGGAATAAATTGAATTGTGAATGTTGTAATAAAATAAATATGAATGAATGTGTAGGTATGCATATTTCTCTATTTGCGTTAACAAAACGCAAAGTTTATAATATTAAAAGATTGTTTTTATTCATAATTTTTGGAGATACTCCTTATTTAAATCGCAGCCAGGTGGAGAAAGTGATTTGAGCCGAAACGTTCTTTTCCTCCGCAACAGAAGAAACGTTCCTGCTCTATGATTTGTCGCGAAAATCGCGATTTCGATCTTTAGATCTCATCAGCACTCTCGCGCCTATTCGGGTGAGCATCCATTTAAGTGCTAATTCTGTGACAGAAAATTTAGTACAAATACAAGTAAAAATGAACACGAAAGTACCCATATTCAAGATAACTGAACGTATATCTATATTCAGATGCAAAACTTTTGTTCATTATCTTAAGATAATTTGTTGTAAGAAGATATTAAAACTAATGTTCAACAATTAGTAAATATTAGCCGCTGTTTGTCCAAGGGAAACGCACATTTTAATGTAGATGATACGCGATTTTCGACTGGTAATTCAGTAGGACGACAAATTATTCGATTAGCCGATTATTAGTTTTTAAAAATAATTCGATAATCAGAATAATCGATTGTTAAATTTAGTAATTACCCATCCCCAATTAAATCAGGCGGTAAGAAGGACCAAGTGACGATAGTAGTACTAATCGTCACTTAACCTTAACCACTCTCTGTTCTAATTTGTCAAGGGTCAGGTCGTCTAGCATATATGTACATAAACATACTTGGGTGCCCACATTTACACATTCAAATTATTTCGATTAATCGACTATTAGAATTAATTGTATTTCTCGTCTCGTTTTATCTTGACATAACTTCATTTTTTTTTAATAATTCATATTTTTAGGCAATATACTGATGAAGAAACAGATATTAAAGAGCCTATCCTAATAAAAATGGAATTTGAAGATCCTGAAGAAAATAAAAGGGAAGGGTTAACATGCGAAATATGCTTGGATATTTTCGTAAATCAAGAAACGCTACAAGAGCATTATAAGTGTCATAAACAAGTACCTCTTTTGTAAGTAGTACCGAAAATGTTCTTGCAATGTTTTGAGAATATCGTTTAATTTGTAGCGAAGCCGAAGAGTTACCGAAAGATGACGAACATGCAAATCGTGTGAAATCAATCCAGAGAAAAATATATTACTGTCATCACCACGACATGTGTACCAAACTTTTCACCCAGAAAGAGCTTCTCCAGCATTGCAGTCTACACGACATCGAAATAGACAATCCAACAGTATACTTTAAGAAAGCACTTCGTAAAAAAGTAAAAACAACTGAAGAATCCTGCGAAATATGCTTCGAACTATTTCCCACTAAGCAAGCTCTCGACCTTCATTACGAAAATCACAAAAATGTTCATCAATGCACCGATTGCAATGCAGGGTTCAAAAGAATTATGGAATACGTAGCCCATACAAAAAATCACAGAGTCGATAACATGTATCAGTGTCCTTCGTGTGAGGTACAATCCGAAGATAGGAGAAAAATTTTAAGTCATCTTCAGTTGCACGAGTGCTATAAGCGGTACAAGTGTAAGATATGTGAAAAACGTTTTCCAACTTATCAGCCTTATAACGAACACGTCAAAATTGATCACATGGGCGAACCTCCACCATCCTGCGAAATATGCGGTGAAAAGTTCAAAACTTCGCATAATTTGCTCACTCACAAAATCAAAAGACATAGTGTATGTCGTTTATGTGACAAAAAGTTCCCTTCTTACGAACTTATGCAAAAGCACAAGTTGACACATAATCCGTATGTATGCGACATTTGCGGAGAGGTATATACAAGTAAAGGATCGTTTGGAATGCATATTAAAACACACAAGGACGAAAAACTATTTAAATGCTCTTTCTGCAGTAAAAAGTTTATTTCGAATAATTGTAGAAAAGATCACGAACTCACTCACATTAAGATAGAGGATCCAACAGAATATTCTATGGAAACAGATAGTCAAAAAGTAAACACAAGCATAATTGAAGAATCCTGCGAAATATGTTTCGAACTTTTTCCTACTGAGCAAGCTCTCGACCTTCATTACGAAAATCACAGAAATATTTATCAATGCACCGACTGCAATGCAGGATTTAAAAAGATTATGGACTACGTCGCTCATACAAAAAGCCACAGAGTCGATAACATGTACCAGTGTCCCTTGTGTAATGTACAATCAGACGATGAGAGAAGAATTTTAAGTCATCTTCAGTTGCACGAGTGCTATAAGCGGTACAAGTGTAAAATATGTGAAAAACGTTTTCCAACTTATCAACCATATAACGAACACGTCAAAATTGATCACATGGGTGAACTTCCGCTGTCGTGCGATATTTGCGATGAAAAGTTCATATCTTCGCAGTATCTGAACAATCACAGAAATAAGAGACACAGTGCATGTAATTTATGTGGTAAAAGATTTCCGTCTTATGAGCTAATGAAAAGACACAGAATGACGCATGATTTGTATAAATGCGACATTTGTGGGGAAGAGTGTAGAAGTAAGGCGATGTTGGGGCTTCACGCTATGAAAGCACACAAAGACGAAAAAACATTTAAATGCTCGTTCTGCAACAAAAAATTTATTTCAAAAAATTGTAAAAAAGAACATGAACTCACTCACACCGAGAAAAAGGACGCAACAATAAATTTTGCGAAAACGCTCGGTAGGAAAGCAAAAACAATGACAACATTCGAACACCCGTGCGAAATATGTTTCGAATTGTTTGCTTCTAAGCAAGAACTCAACCTTCATTACGAAAGTCACGAGAACGTTTATAATTGTGACGATTGCAATGCTGGATTTAAAAAAATTTTTAAATACGTCGCGCACGCAAGAACTCACCGGAAAGATAACATGTATCAGTGTCCTTCGTGCGATGTACAGTCAGATCAGAGACAAAAGATGTGGCTCCATATTCATGCCCACGAGTCTTACAAACGCTACAAGTGCAAAATATGCGACAAACGTTTTCGAACTTTTCAACCTTATGACGAACATGTCAGAATTTATCACAACGGCGAACCTCCGCTGTCGTGCGAAATATGCGGCGAAAGTTTCAAATCAACGCAAAGTCTGGCCAATCACAAAATCAAGAAACATAGTGAATGTCGTTTGTGCGGTGAAAGGTTTTCTTCCTACGAACTAATGCGAGCGCACAGGTTGACGCATAAACCTTACGTATGTAACATATGCGGGGAAGTGTATACAAACAAGGAACCTTATGAAGTTCATATTAAAACACATTAAGGATGTAAAACAAATTGAATGCTCATTGTGCAACATGAATTTTATTTGAGGTTTTTGGGATTAAATTTTGATAAAGTTACGATTAAACGTACATACAATTTCGACATCTTTTTAGAAGTAAGTTAGTTTAATATAAAATATTATATCTACTGAAAATTCATTTTTGAATTTTTTACCCACTACACGCTACCTCAAATTAATGAGGGAAAAATTGTTGCTGTTGTCACAAACCCGCCGGGAATCGAACCCGGAACCTTTGGCTTTACGCACCAATGTTCTGACCACTAAACTCCCGGGTTCGATTCCCGGCGGGGGTGTAACAACAGCAACAATTTTTCCTTCATTAATTTGAGGTAGCGTGTAGTGGGTAAAAAATATTTCATATTAAACTAAGTCACTTCTAAAAAGATGTCTAAATTGTATGTATGTTTAATCATAGTATAATCAGTGTATAGTTACATCAGTTCGACGGATCGTTAGCCTTGTAGGTCGGTTGGTCGTAGTTGCTGTTGTCACCTTTCGTAGTTTAGTGGTCAGAACATTGGTGCGTAAAGCCAAAGGTCCCGGGTTCGATTCCCGGCGGGGATGTGACAACAGCAACAATTTTTCCTTCATTAATTTGAGGTACCGTGTAGCGGGTAAAAAATTCAGAAACGAATTTTCAGTATAATATTTCATATTTGATAAAGTTGTTAATATGGCAAGGATTTCACGATGTCAAGCAGTTTGATTATACACTCGCGACTTTAAACAGATAAACATCCTTAAATGTGCCTTATTTGATAAGAAATGATCTACAAGCACATGCATAAATGATATGACGGCTCTGATTTTACGACTATTAGCAATAAGGATAGTTTTTATTAGTTTATATTAGTATTAAAAAGGATTTAATGATCGCGTAAAAAAATGAAATAGAACAACTCAAATAATTATTTTTCTTCGGGTTAAAAATTATAGGGTTTGATAAAAGAGCTGCTTTAGTGTGTATCCTAAACATTTTCACGTTAGAAATAAGTAGTTCTGTGGTAGGTAAGGTAAGTTTCTTTTTCGTTTATTTATTTAGGTAAGCAACTACTATTTATAAAATGGCAGGTTAAAATAAATGTTTGATTAACACTTAATCAGCCTTTTTTTGCATTACAAAGTCGTTACTTTCTTCGATTTCACCCAGGTACGTATATATTATATAATTAATTGAATATTACAAAGATAAATTGTAACACTCCTATATTGTGAAGAATTAATTGGAGTGTATTATCTTGAAAATGAGAATGTACCAATGACTGTGGCTTTTTATTATATTCTTACAATATTATAAGGTTTCTGGTAAAGGAGTAGCGCAAGTTGTAATGTCAGTAACCCACGAAGTTTCTACCGTAGGTACATCTTTTTGTAGAACGTTGAAAAAATGACGAACAAAACTTAAATATGAAAAGAATTAACTGTATTGCACAATATTTTAATAAAGAAAGGGCAAGGGTGGATGAAAGTGGCTTAAATAGGTTCCTGAGAGTGTTATCTCTTTCAGGAAAACGCATTATGTTCTATAAATGATGCATGGTTTTCGGTTACAATTAGATAGGGTAGGGCAAATTTTCCGATTAATCGATTAATCTTTATAAGTGATTAATCGGAATCGTGAATTGTAAAATTTAATAACAACCCACCCTTAATTAGACCAGAAGGGTTAGAAAAACTAAGTGTTTCGAAGTGGATCGTCGAGTATGTATTGCAATTTTCATATACACAAACGTAAAAGTACCTGAAATATCGTAGACATCCAAGGGTTGGCCAGGAGTGGGAAAATTATCGGATTAATAGATTAATTTATCGTTATAATCGATTAATAAATCTAATAATCACCCAGTCCTATAATTAAGTGTAATATATTAGATACACGTAATATAATAATTGACCACCATTAATTAGTTCATATTTTTAGGCGATATACATCAACCGATGAAGATACAGATGTTAAAGAACCTATTCTAGTTAAAATGGAATTTGAAAATCTTGAAACACTTGAAACAAAATGGGTAGCATGTAAAGTTTGTTTGGATATTTTCGCAAACGAAAAAACCTTACAAGAACATTATAAGTGTCACGAACATATCACATCTAGTTAAAATGGAATTTGAAAATCTTGAAACACTTGAAACAAAATGGGTAGCATGTAAAGTTTGTTTGGATATTTTCGCAAACGAAAAAACCTTACAAGAACATTATAAGTGTCACGAACATCTCACATTCGTGTAAGTAGTGTCAAAATTAATGTTCTTATAATGTTTTATGGATATCGTTTCATTTGTAGCGGACCCGAAGAATTACAAAAACATGAAAAATTTGACAGTGACGACGAACATACAAATGGTGGTAAACCAATGGAAAGAAAAACGTATTACTGCCATCACCATAACAGATGTACTAAACCTTTCACCAAAAATGAACTTTTAAAACATTTAAAGCTCCACGATATCAAAATAGAAAATCCAACGGTATATTTTAAAAAAGCACTTCGTGGAAAAGTGAAAGAAACTGAAGAATCCTGCGAAATATGCTTCGAACTTTTTCCCACCAAACAAGCTCTAAACCTTCATTACACGACTCACGATAATGTTTACAAATGCACCGATTGCAATGCAGGATTTAGAAAAATTATGGAGTACGTCGTTCATACAAAAAGTCACAGAGTTGATAACATGTACCAGTGTCCTTCGTGCGACGTGCAATGCGACGATAGGAGAAGAATTCTGACTCATCTACATTTGCACGAGTGCTATAAGCGGTACAGGTGTAAAATATGCGATCAGCGTTTTCCAACTTATCAGCCCTATAATGAACATGTCAAAATTTATCACATGGGCGAACCTCTACTACCCTGCGAATTTTGCGGTGAAACGTTTAAATCTTCTCAGAGTATGATCACTCACAGGAGTAAAAAACATAGCAGATGTCGCGTATGCGGGAAGAACTTTTCTTCACACGAACTAATGCAAAAACACAAGTTGTCACACAATCCTCATGTATGCTATATTTGCGGTGAGATGTACACAACGGAAGTGTCCTTGGGGGTTCATGTTATTAAAGCACACAAGGACGAAAAACTATTCAAATGCTCGCTCTGCGACAAAAAGTTTATTTCAAACAGTTATAAAAAAGAACACGAATGCACTCACACTGAAGGAAATAATTCAACAGTACATTCGAAAAGGGCACATCGCAGTAAAGTACTAAAGACTGAGAGTAAATCTGAAGAAGCCTGTGAAATCTGTTTCGAATTATTTTCCACCAAGCAAGATCTAAACCTTCATTACAAAATCCACAAAAATGTTTACAAATGCGCCGATTGCAACGGAGGATTTAAACAAATTTTCGAATACGTCACTCATACGAAAATTCACAGGGAAGATGGAATGTACCGTTGTCCTTCCTGCGAAGCGCAATTCGATAATAAGAAAAGGATGCGGATTCATCTGCAGTGCCACGAGGCTTATAAACGGTACAAATGTAAAACATGTGGAAAACGTTTTGCAACTTATCCCCACTATAACGAACATGTCAGATTTGATCATAAGGGTGAGCCTCCGCTATCGTGCGAAATATGCGGCGAAAATTTCAGATCTACGCAAAATCTGACAAATCACAAGTTTAAGAAACACAGTGAATGTTGTTTGTGCGGTGAAATGTTTTCTTCTTATGAACTAATGCGAGCGCACAGGTTGACGCATAATCCTTTTGTATGTGACGTTTGTGGGGAAGTGTTTACAAACAGGGAACCTTATGAAGTTCATATTAAAACACATTAAGGATAAGAAAGTAATTAAATGCTCATTGTGCAACAAGAAATTGATTTGTAGTAGTTGGGAATAAATCTTAATAATTTCGTTAACATAATAAGGCTACTTTCACACAATGCGATAACGACGCGATTTACTGCACGCGATTTGTCGTGTCGTATCGGAACGCCGCTTTCGGCGGTCCTGCCTATCCTTGCAGTGTTGTCTGGTTTAGTTGTATGTAAGTAATTACTTTTCTCGATTCCACCTTGGTAGGTACATACAATTAACTAAGTATTACAAAAATAAATTGTAACCCTTATTTTTACTTCTATATTGTGAAAAATTAATTGCAGTGTATTATCTTGAAAATAAGAATATACCAATGACTGTGTTTTTTTATTATTTTTGACGTGACAACGTCTTATAATTCGATGGAGCCGGCTGCACGCACTAAAAAACATGACTCATGCGGCGTTACCTCGTTCTGAGGCGTTCCATTTAAGGCTTGAAGTGCAAGCGAGAGCGCGGAACGAGCGACAAAGAGGCACAATCGGCCTCCGCGTTCGGCAGCGTTCGACATCTGTCTCTCTCCTACTCGAGTGAGCGATGCGTCCGCGTGGACAGCTGCTATACAATAATACATTTCCATTTACCTCCTTCTCTATATCCATACAAAATATCTATCAAACAAATAAAATTAAAATTTTATTTTGAAAAATGAAACCATTCCATCAGTATTTTCTTATGACGTTGTCACGTTCAATTATCGTCAGTAAACCGACTTTACGGACAACCGATTTTTTTTTACAAGATTATAAGGTTTCTGGTAAAAAAGCAGTGCAAGTTGTAAGTTGAGCAACCTACGAAATTTCTACCCTAGATACATGTTTTTGTAGAATATTAAAAAAAAAAAGAAAATTTAAATATGAAGAGTATTAACCGAATTTCACAATATTCTAATAAAGAGAGAGCAAGGGTGGGTGAAAGTGGCTTAAGTAACTAAGAGGGTTCTCTCCTGCAGAAAAACGCATTATGTTCTATAAGTGATAAGTTTTCGGCTAGAATTAGTTAGGGTAGGGCAAATTATCCGATTAATCGATTAATAATATTCAGTTTTCAAAATTAATCGATTCATCTCAATAAAAGATTAAGCGAAATTGTGGATTGTTAAATTTAACAATCGTTGACCCTTAAGCATATCAGGGGGGTTAGAAAAAGTAAGTGATGATAGTACTACTATCTATCTCGAGGCGGATCGTCGAGTATGTATACATTTGTACAAGCAAATTTCATTTCATGTACACAAACGTAAATGTTTGCGAAATATTGTAGGCATCCTCAGGTCTGTACGTATGGTAATAGGTTGAGTAGGACTGGGTAGATTATCGGATTAATCGTTTAATGATCGTACAGTTGATTATTTTCTTACAATCCATTATTGTAATAGATTGTTGAATCTAATAATCGCCCAGTTCTATAAATAAACACATTATATTGGGCTATTAGATACTCACATGTAATATAACTAATTTTTTAACTATTTCATTTTTTTAGGCAATATATTTCGTCCGATGAAGATACAGACGTTAAAGAATCTATTGTGGTTAAAGCGGAGTTTGAAAATCTTGAAACACTTGAAACAAAATGGGTAGCATGTAAAGTTTGTTTGGATATTTTCGCAAACGAAAAAACCTTACAAGAACATTATAAGTGTCACGAACATCTCACATTCTTGTAAGTAGTGTCAGAATTAATGTTCTTACAATGTTTTATGGATATCTTTTCATTTGTAGCGGACCCGAAGAATTACAAAAACATGAAAAATTTGACAGTGACGACGAACATACAAATGGTGGTAAACCAATGGAAAGAAAAACGTATTACTGCCATCACCATAACAGATGTACTAAACCTTTCACCAAAAATGAACTTTTAAAACATTTAAAGCTCCACGATATCAAAATAGAAAATCCAACGGTATATTTTAAAAAAGCACTCAACGAAAAAGTAAACGTGAGAGGTAAAATTGAAGAATCTTGCGAAATATGCTTCGAACTTTTTCCCACTAAGCAAGCTCTCAACCTTCATTACGAGATTCACGAGAATGTTCACAAATGCGCCGATTGCAATGCAGGATTTAAAAAAATTATGGACTACGTCGCTCATACAAAAAGTCACAGAGTTGATAACATGTACCAATGTCCTTCCTGTGATGTACAATCCGATGATAGGAGAAAAATTTTAAGTCATCTTCAGTTGCACGAGTGCTATAAGCGGTACAAGTGTAAAATATGTGAAAAGCGTTTTCCAACTTATAAACCCTATAATGAACATGTCAAAATTGATCACATGGGTGAACCTCTGCTATCGTGCGAAGTTTGCAGTAAAAAATTCAAATCTTCTCACTACCTGAGCACTCACAGGATTAAGAGACATAGTGAATGTCGTTTATGTGAAAAAAAGTTTTCTTCTTATGAACTAATGCAAAAACACAAGTTGTCTCATAATCCTTACGTATGCTATATTTGCGGTGAGATATTTACTGGCAAGGTGTCCTTAGGGGTTCACGCTATGAAAGCACACAAGGACGAAAAACTATTTAAATGCTCATTCTGCGACAAAAAGTTTATTTCAAATAGTTATAAAAAAGAACACGAATACACTCACACTGAAGGAAATAATTCAACAGTACATTCTAAAAGGGAACATCACAGTAAAGTACTGAATACTGAGAGTAAATCTGAAGAATCTTGTGAAATCTGTTTCGAATTATTTTCTAGCAAGCAAGATCTCAACCTTCATTATGACATTCACGAAAATATTTACAAATGCGCAGATTGCAAGGCAGGATTTAAACAGATTATCGAATACGTCACTCATACAAAAACTCACAGGAAGGACAACATGTACTGTTGTCCTTCGTGCGATGTGCAATTGGACAGTAGACGAAAGATGCGGCTTCATCTTCAGTGCCACGAGGCTTATAAAAGATACAAATGTAAAACATGTGGAAACCGTTTTCCAACCTATCACCCTTACAATGAGCATGTAAAAATTTATCACGAGGGTGAGCCTCCGTTATCATGCGAAATATGCGGCGAAAGTTTCAAATCCACGCAGAATCTGGCCTATCACAAATTTAGCAGACACAGTGAATGTTGTCTGTGTGGCGAAAGGTTTCCTTCTTATGAACTTATGCGAGCCCACAGGTTGTCACATAATCCGCATGTATGCGACATTTGTGGGGAGGTGTTTACCAGCAAAGGGGCTTTTGAAGCTCATATTAAAACACATTAAGGACAAAAAGATATTTAAATGATTTTTTAAAAAGAAAAAAAAATTATTTTAAGTGTGTGTTAATGTGCTCATTTTAGTAAAGGTTTCACGGAGCGAACCAGGACGGTTATACACTTCATCTTCAAAGGTTTTACAACTGATAATTTTCGGAAATATATAGAACATTGTAAAGATCTTAAATAAATATGATGTTTTATAAAATATGGCTTATTTTGACCGAGTATTTTTGTTCTGTATGAAAATTACTTTGTTTTTCTTGACTTAAAATTATTCATGCGACAATCACAGAAAACTATTTGTATTATATCAGCATTGCGGAGTATTTACAAGTATTCGTTTGTTGTATCATCATATCGCCACAAAACACGTAGAAGTTACGGTAAAGTGCAAAGTGTTTGAGAAGAATTGTTTAGTCGCATGAGTGCAGGTAAAAACCGTGTTCCAAATAGTATAACAAAGTATGCGGAACTTCGCAATTAAAAGAGTTACACGAATGGCCTATAATGGTCAGTAGAAATACGTATTTTGCAAGTATTCATTTGTTGTATCATTATATCGCCACAAAACATGTAGAAGTCACGGTAAAGTGTTTTAAAAAAATTAAGTACAGGTGAAAACCGTGTTCCTAATAGTATAACAAAGAATGCGGAACTTCGCAATTAAAAGAGTTACACGAATGGTCTATAATGGCCCATATATGTAATACGTAAATAGTTTTACCAATAACATTACATTTATACACATTTCATTTATTGAAGAATTGGAATCAGTTAATAAAATACCATCCTAATGATTGTTTTCCTTTTAATTACTCTTTAACATGTGTAGTAAATTTCAGAAATTGAAATTGATTCGCAACAAGAATGACACATAAACATTTCATTATCAAAAATTTGTTATAACTTGTGTTGCACCAAATAAATTATTTATTAATTAAGTGCAATGGTCTGATGACTTTTATACCTATTGAGTAACCATGTTCTTGTAATTGAGCGCAATTACTGATTAGCGTTTTCGTAATGATTTTCCAGCAGAGCTTATAAACACGATTCATTTTCTATTTAAGTGAATAAAAATCATTAACCCTTATTTATCATTTTTAGGAACGAACATAGTGAGAACATACTGAACACTTCTGGGACAATTTTTATAGAAGAAATATCATCAGACACTGAGATTGTTGATAAAATAGATGTAGAAGACGTTAAAGTGGTACCATGGAACGTAGAACCAGACGTAGAATTTGTCAGTTGTTACAAGCAAAACAAGGCTGAATATCCGTGCGAAATTTGCTTGGAAATGTTCAATAATCCAAACGCGTTACGGTACCACTACACTTATCACGAAGCCCGGTACACTTGCAAAAAATGCAGTAAGAATTTTAAAACCATAATCGACTACATTTGCCACATGCACACGCACGGCCATGACAAAATGTACAAGTGTCCCAAGTGTTCTTTCAAGCATCCCCAATTGCCCACATTACAAATACACATGTACTCGACGCACAGCGAGTACAAAAAATACAAATGTCAGATATGCGACAAACGGTTCTCATTTTACACGGAGTACAGTGAACATAAGAATTGGCATGCTCGTGAACAATACAAACAACGTATCGTTTTGGAAACTGTACAATGCCAAATATGCGACAAAGAGCTTTCGAACAAGGAACGTCTGTTAAAGCACATTCGCGAACATTTTAGTGAAACTGAGTTAAATTGTTTATTTTGTGAGGAAACGTTTGAGACAAAATCTAACAGGAAGGTGCACGAACGCGTTCACATCGACGACAAGAGATTCCAGTGTTCAAAGTGTAGAAAGGTGTTTCTTTTTTACGAACCGTATCGCGAACATTTACGTTTGTATCATAAAGCGATCGTGGACGGTGTTATTTGTCACAACTGCGGACAAGATAAGCAGTTGAAAGACCACGAAAAAATTAGTGTCTCGACTTCCACGATATGCGAACATTGCAAAGCTGAATGTTCCTCGCATCGGTACAAACAGGAGCATATTCGAATTCAACACTCGAACTCGTTACTCAAATGTAAACATTGTGGGAAGACTTTTAAAACTTCTCACCAGTTAATCAAACATCTGTGGGTTCATACGTGCAAGCGTAAACGTGTTGAGGGTGAATCGTTCAACTTTACCTCTCGCAATCGAAAATTTTAATATCGGAGCGGTTTAATGAACCACATACGTAATCGTGTTGGTAAACTGCCGTTGTGTTTGTAAACTGTGTAATAAAGATTACTCATCTTGGTATTGTTTGAACTATCATATGAAAACCTGCAAAATACAAAAAGCTGGCCAGGAAAAAGGAACAGAATAACAAAATCCAATTAATTTTGTTTCCTTTTATTTTTTATAGTATTAATTCGCATTGATTTCGTAGTTCTTAGGGATTAATGAATAACGTAACTTTTTATGTTTTTAATCAGACTCTACATTTGTTTTGGTGTAATACGTACTTAATGAATATAGGGCCACACCATAAAAAGGGCGTCACATACTGAAACAATTGTACAATTTGATTTTGATTTGAAACTTTTTGAAACATAAAAAAGCCATTCTATGTCTTTATCGCATTTGTTAATGGTATGTTTCACAATTCCACTGAATTACACCTTGTATCGAAGTTCTATTTTTTTTTTATAGATTAATGTTGAATCGTTTAATACATTTTCTTTTTGTAAACTGAGTTATGTAGTTTGGTTTAATTTTTATTAATTAAAACGAAAGTGAATACCATTTTTCTCATTCTTCTAACTTATGCATCTTTATCCACTTGATAGGTATGCAGGTAACCAGTGAAGTCAATTGAAAATATCTGGGGATGTAATTGTTATTTTCACACATGTAAATGTTTATCAATAATTTGTGTCCAAACAAGGTAGTTAATGTTATTAAAAAATTCACCAGTTTAGAGCTTCCTTTTAATCGTACGAATTTTCAGGAAGTGTGAAGAATATGAAGAATGCAAACTGATCGTTTCGGATGATGTAAGACCGATTTCAAAGACTAAATCCACAATAAGACGAAAGCACATTATTTGTAAGAAGAAAGCGGAAGAACTGACATTGTCCTTATCGGCATCAGGCTACTGCAAACATTGCCGGAAATCATTTACTAGCGAAGAAGTACATAAAACGTTCGTGACGCAAAACGAAACAAACAAATACTATTGCAGAGATCATTCAACGTGCACAGAAAAATATACACGTCACGGGCTGATCCAACATTGCATAGACACCGGAATTCACATACCGGATATACGAAAATATTTCCAGAAAGCTCGCTGTAAGGCCTCGCGAATTAAAAATTTAGAGGGAGAACCCTGCGAAATATGCTTCGAAATATTTCCGAGGAAAGACTTGTTAGAGACACATTACAGCGACCACAAAGACCAACATATTTGCGAGATTTGCAAAGGAGGTTTCAAGAAGATCATGGACTACGTATGTCACATGCAGAAGCACAGTGACGACGGGAAGTACGAATGTCCGGTGTGTAATCTACGAAAAGATAAAATGTACGAAATGCGCATGCACATATTTCAAGCACACGAACAATTCAAGAGATTCAGGTGTAATGTGTGCGGAAAAAGGTTTTCGTTTTACACGTTTTATTACGAGCACGTCAAATACTTCCACAGCGGAGAAAAACACTTCATCTGCGACCTGTGCGGTAAAAGGTTCATGTACTCCTGGTACCTAAGTTCTCACAAACAGGCCGACCACACTGACACCCCAAAAAAATTGATAAAGTGCTCTGTTTGTCCCGTAAAGCTTTCTTCCGACAGGTCGTTGCAAAAACATCTCCAAACGCAACACCTTCAGGCTTACTTCGTTTGCGACATGTGCGGGAGAGGTTTCAAGAGCAAACAGAACCTTAACGCACATTTGAGAGTGCATCGAGGAGATAAAAGACACAAGTGTTCATATTGCGAAAAAATGTTCATAACGACTGGTGCTAAAAAGGAACACGAACGTGTTCATACTGGCGATAAACCACACAAGTGTACGTTTTGTTTGAAGGGGTTCACGCAACGTAGCAGTTTGGTGATTCATTTTCGAAGTCACACAGGCGAACGTCCTTACGTTTGCCAAATATGCAATCGCGGATTCGTATCGAAAACTGCTTTAGTGAATCACATGAAAAATTGTAAAGGACGAAGTGAACTTGAGGAAGAACCATTTTCGAACTATACCAATCATTAACATGACCAAATGTGAATGAGTTTTTCCGAGGGTTTCAGAGTTTTATGCAATTAGACATCCTAATATTTACGGATGGTTTAGCTAAACTAATTATATTTGTTACTTCTTTAAAAAAAATCCTGTAAAATCTTTTTGTATAATCCAGAGCCGGGCAAACTCGGTTCTTTTGACTCCTGAGTGCTCCTCAGGTATAACCAAGGAGCTCCTCATTGCTCCTCTGAGTGCTAGTTAAATTATTCTTTCCTTTTCATATCCCTTCCATTTCGTAGATGAGTCCCCTCTTCCATAGCCGAACCCAATAGTATTGCGGACGTAATCCCGCATGCTACCCCTGAGCTGCGGGATGATCTTTAGAAAATTTTCGTAGGTATTATTTAAGTTGTGAGAGAGGCTTCGCTCATCTACGGGATGAAGGGGCTTGATATAGGAGTGGAAGGGAAAAGAAAAAGAAAAAGCAGTATGGCTCATTAGGTACTGCTTACTCTCACGTACTCATTGTAGGGTATGGAGTGACCCAAACTTACCTCAGGTAGCGGCTCCTACGAAGTTAAAGTTTGCCCAGCTCTGGTATAATCCACAGCCGGACAAACTCAGCTCTTTTGACTCCCGAGTGCTCCTCAGGTATAGCCAAGGAGCTCCTCATTGCTTCTGCGAGTGCGAGTGAGATGATTCTTTCCTTTTCTTATCCTTCCATTTCGTAGATGAGTCCCCTCTTCCATAGCCGAACCCAATAGTATTGCGACCGTGCTACCCCTGAGCTGCGGGACGATCATTAGGAAAATTTTCGTAGGTATTATTTAAGTTGCAAGAGAGGCTTCGCTCGTCTACGGGATGAAGGGGCTTGATATGGAAGTGGAAGGGATAAGAAAAAGAGAAAACAATATGGGTCATTACTGCTTACTCTCTCGTACTCATTGAAGGATATGGGGTGACCCAAACTAACCTCAGGTAGCGGCTCCTACGAAGTTAAAGTTTGCCCGGCTCTAGTATAATCTATAATGAACGAATTGTTGTTTTTACATTTGCATATATATGACTAATAAAATCAATACGAGTCCTTTCCCTTTCAAAAAGGTTTCCTTATTTTACCATTTCAATAAAAATAAACCACAGAAGCATCAAGCGTGTGTTTTTCTTGTTATTTATTTTACTAGTGGAAACTTAAACCATTTCGTAATTAGTGTCAATGAAAGTTTCAGGTTTCATTTGATAAATATTCGTTAATATCTACTAATACGTTTTATTTTTAGGTGTTATTCGGATCTACAGCGATTTGGAGAAAATAAGGAACAATCACTTGCATTAAAAATAAAAAACAATTTTAAGGAATTATACGAAACAAATATTAAAAGTGAGATTGATGTGGTTGAACACGATTTTCCACTTACAGATGGAAAAAGGTTTGTATTGTAGATAAAGCGTCAGCTATCTTATTTTAATTGTAACGGCTGCGGAAAGAGGTTTTTATCTTACATTTCGTTTTAAATTAAAAATGTTGGATAAATTGCGCGATTTCATTATAAACATCAATGATACCCATTGACTTACTCTATTAATTATCAGCAATATTACGAAAATGCAGAAAATATTAAATATTTCTCTCGAATTAGAGAAACTGGAAAAGTCGTAGAGGATTTTTAAAAGAAGAATAATTATTGTAGAAGTTGTTTGTCGTAATAGCACTTTTCTTTTTAAATAAACTAATGCTCTCTCTTTAAAACTATTTTAGTGAGTCGGAGAATCTTATAAGTATTTCTGATTGAAAAATATTAAGATTTCTTCTTACAAAAAACTGACATTTATAATTTTTAGATATAAGTCCAATAATCTCCAATGTTTACCTCTCGTATTACAAATTAAAAATAATTTTAAAAAGAAATTGGCAAACATAAACATCGCGCGAGTACGAATTAAAAAGGAAATTGAATTGGATGAAAACGGTTTGCAAACAGAAGATAAAGGGTTTGTAATTTTTATTTTCTAAATCATTTAATTGTGGAGTAGTTGTGACACTTTCCACCACTTCATTCTTTGCATGCCATACCAACCTCTAATTTTTTCGATATTTTGTCTCATGACAGTCTTTACTTAAAATAGCTACCACTTAATATTAATTAACTCTATGTTTATTTAATCAAGTAATGTTTAAAGATCCTAAAGATGATAATGATTATTTCTGTTTTCATCTCAAATGAAATCATCAATTACTATCATGAGGCAATAATCCTCAAAAAGTACCTAATGCTTCATTTTTCTATTCTGGTTCTTCTGTTGAGATCGATTAATTAATTTTCAGGGAAATTTATAAGAGGCTTCCTATTAAAATAGAAGAAAATTCAGATTCATTTGTTGAGAATAGAAGTCTAAGTATTGAAAATATAAATAATTCAAACAGCTGTTTCGATAATCAGATATTTTGCAAGTATTGTCACAAAACGTTTGAAGGCGAAGATGCTCACAAGAAACACGTGTCATCCGAGATAAAAAAATATTACTGCCACGATCATTGCAAAACATTGGACAAAATCTTCACAAAACACGAATTTATCGACCATTGTCGAGAGATTGGCATAAAACTAGATAGGCCTTATATGATAAGGGCAATGTCGAAAATCCCCAGAATAGTAGAGTGCAAAGAAAGGTCTTACCAGTGCGAAATTTGTTCCGAATCATTCGAAATGAGAATGAGACTGGAAAGACATTACACTCATCACGAAAACCAATACGTGTGTAAAGAGTGTAACGTTGGTTTCAAGAAGATCATGCAGTACACCTTGCACCTGCGAACTCACAACGAACACAACTTGTACCAATGTCCTGTGTGTTCGGTTATAAAACAAAGTCGGCAACAAATCAGAGCCCATTTGTACCAGAGACACGAGCAATTCAGAAGATACGAATGTGACATTTGCCACAAGAAATTTTGGGAGTACCAGTTTTTCCAACAGCACGTCCAATATTACCATAGCGGAGAGAAACCGTTCTCGTGTGACCAGTGTGGCAAAAAGTTTGTTTACTCGCGTTACCTGTGGCACCACAAACGCCGATGCCATGACCATAAGGCGCCTGAAAAGGTTTGATGTCCCTTAGTCCGATAAATCACCAAATGTTCCAAATCTGTTTTAGAGAGCTACATTCAAACGAAGCAAAAAACGTTTACTTCAATGTGCAACTTAAATCAGCATGATACACCAATAAAGACTAGAGATAAGAGCAACTAGGGCATCTAAGAGTCAAATCCGTTATCTCCAAATGCATTTCTTGTGTGTCCTGTGTCACATGTGGGTATTTTTTTGTCATTATCGTGTATTTGTTTTTATGAAACATTTTCTGATGATGTTGTACTCGTCCCTAACAAACCATTAGAAAATATTCCGTAAAAGGCAATAAGTGGGGACGTTTGCAACCCCGAAGGCGTTAACAAAATGCACGATAATAACAAAAAACATGGGGTGGGGTGTGACCAATGATAGGCAAAACCGAACGAGCGGAAGTGCCATTAGAAATGGATTAGGAGATAAAAGATTTGACCCCTAGATTCTTTAGTAGGGTGGCGAACCGCATTTTTAATATTCGTATTATTCTAAGAATGGTTTTCACTAACGGGAAACATGATCATTTTTAATAGGCAAGATACTGGTGAAAAACTGCATCAATCCCTTACCATATAAAAAAAATCAAATTACGGGTCATTTAAAGAAATACAAAGGGATACGAAAGATATTTTCTTCTGCCAAAAGATGGCAGAAATATCTAGAGGTAATTTCGAATGACATAAACCTTGTCAAAACTGCGACCGTTCATTGAATTCTACATTTTATCTCTTAGTAACATTGATTTTCATTTTGGAGCCCAATACACGTTCCTGGTTTTGTAGCAGGGCGGGGTTAATATCAATTAGAATATCAAACAAGTGATTGCGATAAGGACCGCCCCTCGCGCATGTAAGGGTTCATGTCATCCTAAATTACCTGTACAATTTTTAAGTTGATGTACCTACTACGTTTTATTTTAAATTAAGTTAGATACAATTTTTTGTTCTTAGCCGCAGATGTACGTTTTCACTTACAATTAGAAATAAAAGAATTACATAACCATTAATTTCATTCATATTTTACATTGCAATCTCATTTAATACATTTCAGGTATTATTTCAACGGTGAGTTAAGGTAAGCTACGGGATTACTTATCATGTAGAAACAAACTTTCTATGAGTTTTAGTAGTATTTTCTTAAAAATAAAAATAATAAACAATAAAGTGTTTCTCTACCAGGTTATTTAAGTAGAACTAAGACTCTTATGTATTTTTATGGTAAATTTTTTAGTGTGTTGCGATGTTTTTTGAGTAGTTTTCTCTAGCGGTATAATCTCCGATCCATCATCTTCAACACGAATTGCATGTCACTAGACGACGTTTGCAAGTGTCTGTACTGATTGTTACCATTTTCAGGTATACTTCAGGGCGTCTGCGTAGTTTACCCCTAGCATTACAAATTAAAAATAATTTTAAGAATCTGGCAAGCCTTAATGCCACACAAGTACTTATTAAAGAGGAAACGGGGTTGAATGATAATAATATACAGATGGAAGATAAAGGGTGCGTAATTTTTATTTCGTAATTGATGTTCCAATATGTGCCTCATTAAATAATTTAAAAATTGCGTCACTGAAAGATATTTTATTATAAAGTTTTGATAGTTATCAGATAAAACCTGTTAATAACTCAGTTATTTTTTAGGGAATTTGACAAAAATGATGAAAGCAATTTAGATTCGAACATTGATATAAGATTATTATCTGATAAACTCACGCTAGCTTTACCGGATTCAGGTTTCTGCAAACATTGTAGGAAATCTTTTGAGAACGAGGATGAACATCAAAAATTCGTAAATGATTTCGAAAAGAAGAGATACTACTGCAGAAATCACCCGTCATGTTCTGGAAAGTTCACACGACACGAACTCATTCAACACTGCATTGATAGCGGGATCCATATACCGGACGTTTCGAAATTTTTCCGCAAAGCCCGTAGCAAGACTCCAAGGATCCAGAACTTAGAAGGCGAGCCGTGTGAAATTTGCTTCGAAATGTTCCCAATCAAAAACGTGCTAGAGGATCATTACAATATCCACGAAGACCAATACTTGTGCGAAGTGTGCAATAGAGGTTTCAAAAAGATAATGGATTATGTATGCCACATGCAGGAGCATAGTGGCCACAGGATGTACGAGTGTCCTGTATGTACAGAACGTAAAGAAAAAGTGTACCAGATGCGACTGCACTTAATTCGAACGCATGACCAGTTCAAACCATACAAGTGCAACGTGTGCGAAAAGCGGTTTTCGTTCTACGCCATCTATCGCGAGCACGCCAAGTATTTTCATACGGGAGAGAAACGATTCGTTTGCGATCAGTGCGGAAAAAGGTTCATGTACTCCTGGTACTTAAATTCCCACAAACAGCTCGATCACAACGAACCAAAGGAACCAACTAAATGCCCCCTCTGTCCCGTCAAGTTATCATCAAAAAGATATTTGCAAAGGCATCTTCGGGCCCAACATCGTCAGGCTCCCTGCGTTTGCGACGTTTGCGGAAAGGATTTCAAAAGCAAACAAAACCTTAACATTCATCTAAAAATGCACAAGGGTGATAAAAGGCACAAATGTTCGTATTGCGATAAAATGTTCTTGAAATCGGGTGCCAGAAAGGAACATGAACGGGTTCATACAGGCGATAAACCGTATAAGTGTACCTTTTGTACGAAAGGGTTCACGCAAAGGAACAGTTTAGTGATTCACTTCCGGAGTCATACCGGTGAACGTCCTTACGTTTGTCAAATCTGTAGTCGCGGATTCGTTTCGAAAACTGCTTTAGTGAATCATCTGAAAAGCTGTAAAGGAAGGGTTGATCTTGACTAATGATTATAAACTATGTTTCTTTTGATTTCCTAGTTTTCCCTCCTCCCTCATAAAGTTTCACTGCGTGGATTTAGTGAAAACCATTTGTTAATAATTAGAATTTAGAATAGAAATTTAAAATAACGCCATATAACGATGCCAAAAAATGTACCTTGCGTTCAAATACCTAACCTACAAAATAAATGCACCTTTTATTAATGTTAAGATTCTAGCATAATGTCTCACTTTAGCACCTTAATATTAATTAAGGAGATGCTACAATATTTCTTTTAACTTTACGTAATCTTAATCATCCATGTATTCTAAAGTCATTATTTAAGTTACAAAATCAAGTACGATATAATGAGTTAGTACTTAATAGGTGTAGAAGTAGATTTTATTAATAGAATTGTAATATTTTTGCTTCTTTTGTATTGAAAAAAATAAAATATCAAAAAAAAATATATACTTCTTTGGTATATTGGGCGGATGTGTAGTTTACGACAACAGTTGTGAAGTTAGCCCCGCAACATGACTAACTTTAGCAGTGCTGCCAACATTTTCTTTTGTTGTTAGCAGCATTGTAATGATTGAAGCCAGTTTTATTTACTTAGTGTTTATCAGTTAATATTTAAAATTAATTTTCCCATTTCCAGGTACCATTGGCCTAAAGAGAAAAAATATGATAATTTAGTACTCCAAATTAAAAGCAATTTTAAAAAACTGACGAAAATAGAAGTCAAAAAAGAAATCGAAATTGTCGAAAATGATCCACAGCTATCGAATTTCCCTGCTCAATTGTCTCAACCAGATCCCGTCGGATATAATGCTCCTTTACTGAATTTCTGTGAGAAAACACTTCAAGGAAACTTTGTCCCGTGTGAATACTGCGGTAAATTATTCAAAACCGGGAACAGTTTGTCAGAAACCGTCGCTGCGATGCGAAAACATCTTAAGGAACATCACTGTTTGGATTTGTTTATTTGCAATATTTGCAATGAGGACTGTCAATCGAGAAAAGATCTCAACGTGCATCTATTGAAGCACAGATGTGCGTTTTGCGGTGAAGACTTTAGCGATGACAATAATCTGAGAACGGAACATGAACTGACCCATTACAAAGCGAACTCTAAGGAATGTCCTGCCTGCGAGACAGTATTCAACAATAGATCTACTTTGATTCTCCATTATTACAATGTCCATCGGAAGAAGTATCCCTATGCTTGTACTGCCTGCAAACGATATTTTAAAAGTCAAATATCAATGTCTCTGCATCTGCGAAAGTGCAAACAGAATATCAAAACAGAGCAATTCAGTTCAGTTCAATCTATTTTATAATAATAATAGGTACAATTTTTAAATATGAAATCAGCCTAATAATATTAAAACTTTATTTTAAATTAAAATAACTATTTCAATAAGTCGTTTAGTAAATGAAAACAGTTTACTAGTAGGTACATAAACATTTAATGATCTTTTTAGTGTATCTTTTATTACTTACGTAAATAGTTTTTATTCTTGATTGGTTTTAGTATGTATAATTTTTATGTGTACCACCTCAGGAAGTTCATAATAAATTCTATAAATATTTGCTTAACGTTATAATGGGCCCTAAGAAGGGGATTCTAGAATTTGTTGTTATTTTCATATCATGAATTTGTTTCTATCGAATTTTATACACAAGTATCTTCCAAACTCACGAAGAATCAATAAATGGTAGGTAAGTCTTATAATTCTACTATTCAATTTTATTGTTTTTCAAAGTATACGTCGCTACGTGGCACATAGCTATTACCACTGGTTATCAAGCCAAAGATTCTAGTTTATCTTCTCATCCAGCATGAATAGTGTAACATTCTTCCAAATAGCTAAAAGTTCCCGTAGAAGATTTGTACCTTTTTAATTGGTTGTTTCTGTACGGAAACAGTGGAACGTTACAATGCACTAGATCGGGACTATAGGGTGGGTGACAACAGTCCAATACCGGAAGACGCTGAAAATTCTGCGACATTTTAAGCGCGATGAACAAGTGCATTGAGATAGCCAAGTACGCCCTGGGCTTATTAGTTACATTTTTGTAAGTGTACTCACTAAAAGAATCAGACACGATTAAATACACCATTATGCAATAATAGTGTGTTGTATACCTTGTTATGAAATTATTGTTAATCAATTTTTCAATAACGGTCACTGTTTCCGGTGTGGTCACATCTCTCGACCCCCAGTCATAAACACTTCTTTCTTTCAAACTGTTTAATAAGTATACCATATCTTGACTATCTTGAGAGATGGTACAGTATCATTCAATACATGTTTAATTCGTTCGGGATCCATATTTTTTACGAAAAATTTTAAGTCGAAAATTGTAATATACCTATAGTGCGAATGTGACAGCTCAGTGACGCCATACGTATACCTTCACCCCTAAATTAGTGGCAAATCTCTGGTCGGCTTTTAACAATATTTACGTGCACTATACGTAGATAAGTTTGAGAGAAACAGAAGTCAAACAGGAAATCGGTCTATTTCCAAATTTCTCTGCAGAATAATCTTAACCATATTCAGTGCAAATCCTGATTTAATTGATTCCTATTTTGCTTCATACGCAGGAATATGACGTGAAACAATCCGAAAATATCTCGACAAGTATTTATTAAAGTACGGATGCGCATTTTGTGGCAGAATTTGTAGAGACGGCAACAAACTAAAGTGTAACAAGTGTCCTTTGTACAAAAGAACATAAAGTAACAGTTCTTATTTGGTCCCCATCTGCGACGTTGTCCAATAAATATCAAAAAGAACGGAATGGAAGAAGTCAAACAGTCTGTTATGCAATAACAATGAAGGAACTTCTTGTAAAAATAAAATAAATGTTGCTTTTTATATATTTCATCCTTTCGTCCTCTGTATTATGACATTGTAGATTGTTTAATTATCTTTTAAAGTATAGGTCGTAGTTAATTTTGTTTTTTTCGTTTCCAGATGCTATACAACAGGAGAACGGCATAAAGAAGAAAAATATGATCCTTTATCATTTGATATTAAGAACAGTTTTAAAATACTGATTAAAACGGAAATCAAAGAGGAAGTCGATATTGTAGAAAAAGATTTAGGTTTACCGAATTTCTGTGCAGAATCGCCTCAACCGAATTATATTAAAAAAGACAAAAGTCACATTAGGGGAAGTGTAATCAAACTTTGTGAAAAACAGCCCAGAAAAAGGCCAAAAGATGCTGGTAAAGGTCGAGTATATTGCAGACATTGCAACAAAGCTTTTGATAGCGAGGATCTTCACAAAAAATACGTATCGTCCGAGGTAAAGAAATATTACTGCCACGACCATTGCAAAACGTTGGACAATGTCTTTACAAAACACGAATTTATTGATCATTGTCGAGAGGTCGGCATAGAAATCAAAGGCCGACCTTACCTTAAAAGGGCAACATCAAAAACGCCGCGGATAATGTGCAAAGAAAGGTACCAGTGCGAAATTTGTTCAGAATCCTTCGAAACTAGGACGAAACTCGAAAAGCATTACGACACTGATCACGAAAATAATTACGTATGTGAAGAGTGCAATGCAGGATTCAAAAAAATCATGGACTTCACCTTACACTCACGAATCCATAACGCAAATAATTTCTACCAGTGCCCTCTGTGTTCCGTCACAAGGCGCACACCCAAACACATCAGAGCTCATTTGTACCAGATCCACGAGCAATTCAAGAAATACAAATGTGGCGTTTGTGATAAGAGATTTTCCGAATATCCATATTTTCAAGAGCACATCCAGTATTACCATAGCGGTGAAAAACCGTTCGCCTGCGACCAATGTGACAAAAAATTCGTTTACTCACGATACCTATGGAATCACAAAAAACTGGACCACGTTCTCAAAACACCTGACAGGGTTATATGCCCCATTTGCGGTAAAAGTCTTCTGAGTCTTCAAATACTCCAAATCCATTCTCGAGCGCAACATTCAAACGAAACATCTGTCTGCGATATCTGTGGCAAAACGTTCACGTCCAAGCGCAATTTAAATCTGCATTACAAAACTCACAGTGAGAAATTGCATAAATGTTCTTATTGTGATAAGAGATTCAACAGTAAAACCTGCAGAGCTAAGCATGAACGAACTCATACCGGCGATAAACCTTTTACATGTTCGCATTGTAAGAAAGGTTTCTCTCAAAGAAGTAGCATGGTCACTCACACCAGACGACACACTGGCGAAAAACCTTATCAGTGTCACATTTGTGATCAGAAATTTGCGTTAAAAAAGCAACATACAAATCATTTAAAGGGCTGTAGAAAACAAGATGACGTCTAAATGCTATAGGAAAATTAGTTTAAGGCATATGAAATATTATACTGAAAATTCACACGCTACCTCAAATTAATGAGGGAAAAATTGTTGCCGTTGTCAAACCCTCGCCGGGAGTCGAACCCGGGACCTTTGGCTTTACGCACCAATGTTCTGACCACTAAACTACGAGACGGATCGTTAACCTTGTAGGTCGGTTGGTCGTGGTTGCTGTTGTCACCTCTCGTAGTTTAGTGGTCAGAACATTGGGGCGTAAAGCCAAAGGTCCCGGGTTCGATTCCCCGGGGGGGGGGGGGGTGTGACAACAGCAACAATTTTTCCCTCATTAATTTGAGGTAGCGTGTAGTGGGTAAAAAATTCAGAAATTGAATTTTCAGTATAATATTTCACATTAAACTAACTAACTTCTAAAAAGATGTCTAAATTGTATGTAATTTTAAGGCATTTTATTTCTTATATGTCATTAATTTAGTTTTATACTTACAATTAAAAATAAAAAATATTTACCTTACCACATGTTATGTAGGTACCTACCTACTTGTTTTGTACATTGCTTGTTTATTTTTTTAACTAACGTGTATCAGACATTTAAAATTAATTTTTCCACTTTCAGACATTATCCAAAAGTAGAAGAACACGATCTTTTAACATTTGATAATAAGAACAATCATAAAATACTGTTGAAAACGGAAATCAAAGAGGAAATCGAAATTATCGAAAACGATTTATATGTACCGAATTTGTCTGCAGAATTGCCTCAGCCGAATTCCTTAAAAAATGATGTTCTTTTACCGAAATTTTCTGCAGAAATGTTTCAAGGAGATTCCATCGTATGTGAATATTGCGGCAAATTGTACAAAACCTGGTATAACTTATCGCTTCATAAGAAGGCATATCACACGAAACAATTCCAAAATACGACCTGTAGCATATGCCACAAAACAACAAAAAACATCACTGAAATGCGAAAGCATCTTCGAGAATGTCATTTTTTTGAGTTGTATATTTGCAATGTATGCGATGTGCAGTGCCAATCGAAACAACATCTCGGCATTCATTTATTGATGCACAGATGTGCATTTTGTGGAGAAGATTTTAGCGACTACGATAATCTAAGGACAGTACATGAACTGGCCCATTACCAGCTAAATTCTAACAAATGTCCTTCTTGCGAGGCAACATTCAGTAATGAATTTAATTTGGTGCACCATTTCAGTAGTCATCGAAAGATGTTCCCTTATGCTTGTACCTTCTGTAAATGGTATTTTAAAACTGAAATGTCAATATCTAAGCATCTGCGACGTTGCCCAATGAATATCGAAAATACAACATAAAATAATCCGTTTTGTAATAACAATAGGAAGTTGTACAAAATAAAGCAAATGTTACTTTTTAAGTATATAACTTATCAATCAACTTTCGAGTGCATCTTCTATTGTTCACATGAATGTAGGTACCATGTCAGAATGTTTATAATAAAATTTATAAGTATCGGTATGTCGGTGTTGAAATGCTACACCAAGAGAGTACTGTAGACATTTTCAAGTTCATTAATTTGAGGTAGCGTGTAGTGGGTAAAAAAATTCAGAAATTGAATTTTCAGTATAATATTTCATATTTTCCAAAGTTTTCACTTTTCACTGATACTGTTCTGACTTGGATCTAAAGGTCACCGTATGTTGGAGTTGCTTCCTAGAGGTCCGTCCATCTTCGATACTGGGTGTGGACTCCACCTCTGAAGAAAATCGTCACTCGTACTAACGAAACGTTAGGATGCAACTCAACGGCTTTTAGATTCGAATCAAAACAGCAAAATCGCGAAAAAAAATTTCATTTCCATTTTTGTATCTCGAATTTGTTTATATTAAGTGTTGTAGACTTATACTCAACTATAGTCTTATCGATCATTAACGAAATTCTAAAATAATTTTTATACGAATATTGAATTACGTTTCTGTTTCTAATGCAAGTATTTTTCAGGAAAGAAGGGCGAAAAAGAAGATTTAAAAAGAAAGTGATAACACCCTGCTTAGAAGGGGTTCAAACAAGAAATCGTATAAGAAAAATCGATTCTCATACTTCAAGCAGACAAAAACTAGAAAGGATTTGTAAAAGAAATACAGGGGCGGTTCATAATTTAGCTGAGAAAGAAATAGTCGGTTCGTCAGATGACGAAACTAGGATCATTGACGCTAAAAACAAAAATTCTACAATTTTTTGTAGGCACTGCAACAAGCGGTTCGATGACGAAATAGAACACGACAATTTCACATCCTCCGAAGAAAAACGATATTACTGTCATAGTCACTCAACTTGTACAGAAAAATTTACAAGGCATGAACTTATCAAGCATTGCAAGCTTTCAGGTGTCGAAGTACCAAGCTACCGCAAATTTTTCCTAAAAGCCCTGTCTAAAAACCCAAGGATGGAGCATCAAGAGAAATTATTGTGCGAAATATGCTCGGAATCGTTCGACATCAAAAAGAGTCTCGAGGAGCATTACGAAACCCACAATGATCAGTATACGTGTGACGTTTGTTTTAAAGGTTTCAAAAAGATACTGGATTACACAATTCACATGCAAACTCACAGCGAAGATAAAATGTTCAAGTGTCCTTTGTGCGATGTCAAGAAAGAAAAGGGTTACCAAATACGCATGCACATCCTCCAAACTCACGAACAGTTCAAAAAGTTCAAGTGCGAAGTGTGCAACAAACGTTTCGCCAATTACCCTTTCTTCCAAGAACACGTCAAGTACTACCACAGCGGAGAGAAACCGTTCAAATGTGAATTTTGCAGTAAAAAATATTACTACTCGCAATACCTGGCCACCCATCAGAAATACGAACACTTGGAAAAGCCTTCCGAACAAGTGGAATGTTTTTTGTGTAATGTCAAACTGCCAACTTTGAGGGCCATGCAAAGGCACCATCGGTCCAGGCATCCGAAAGAGCTGCTCATTTGTGACATTTGCGGAAAATATTTCAAATCGAAAAAGAACTTCAGTCTGCATTCGCGGGTTCATTCGGGAGACAAGAGGCACAAGTGTTCCTATTGTGAGAAACGATTTATCAGAGCCGAAGCCAGAAAGGAGCACGAAAGGATCCACACTGGTGACAGACCGTATCGTTGTTCCTACTGCGGGAAGAGCTTCACCCAACGAACCAGTATGGTCATTCATACGCGCAATCACACAGGGGAACGTCCGTACGTTTGTCACCTATGTAACAAAGGATACACGTCAAAAGCGAATCTGACACATCATCTCAAAAGTTGTTTGGGATCTGGATCGCTCAAATAAATATTGTTTACTGTGTGGTTCCACGTAGTAAATACAAAGTACCTGCCTAATTTCTTGTATAATAACTAATTGCAAGTGCGTTGCAACAGAAATAAATATATTTTTGTTCTTTATTTTATTATCCTTTTTTTTTGGAATAAATGTTTCTTTTAAATAAAATATTTCCTTTATCACTTCCCTCATCCGTAAATGAAACGGTACCTTCGCTGACAATAAATACTCCTTTTTATCCTTTTTAAGGAATTATTGTGAAACTTGAAGAAAATAATCGAAAAGGTAAGGTAACAAAATGGTAAAACATCAAGCTAAGTAAGGATAAAGGTTGTTATTTTTTTTTTCAAATATGAGACATCATCAGGGATAGGTTTCTAAGTTAAACCTTGGATTCACACGATTTTTCACTTAGAAACGTATCCCTAATGATGCCTCATATTTGAGGCGAAACGTCGGATGTCGTTTCATAAAAATAAAGCCTTTACCCTTACATAACATAATTTTTTACAATTCTACAATTGATTTGAAGAAGAAATGGAAACTAAAGGTAAGGTAACAAATTCTAGAAATGATGCTAATGATATCAAAGGATAACATTTTCTCTGTTTGTTTTAAAAAGATCCTTTACCGTTCCTTGATGTTAAAAATTTTCTTACAGAATTCGGAGGAGGTAAACCATTATTTAACACGGCTGTTTTACATTCTATTTTTAGTAAATTAACAAAATATTAATACAATTATTTTTTAGGGACAACAAAAGTTGCAGTAGACGATGTTTAACTAAAATGTCTCGAAAACGGCCGATAAGACCCGTTAAAATGTTGTCTTATAATTCAAGTGATGCCCTAACGATTTACAAATGCCTAAAAATCAATAACAATTCAAAAAATACAAATGTGGCGTTTCTGTTAAGAGATTTTCGGAATACCCATATTTTCAGCAACACGTTCAGTATTACCATATCAGAGAAAATCCGTTCGTCTGTGATCAATGTGACAAATAATTCGTTTACTCACGATACCTGTGGACTCACAAAAAATTAGACCATAATCTTAAGACACCTGACAGGGTTATATGCCCCATTTGAGGTAATACTCCAAATCCACTGTCGGACGCAACATTAAAACGAAACATCTGCCTGCGATATTTGTGGCAAAACGTTCGCTTCCAAGTGCAATTTAAATCTGCATCACAAATGCACAACATTGTATAAATGTTCTTATTGTGATAAGAGGTTTACCAGTAGGTAAAACCTGCAGAGTACGAACTCATACTGGCGATAAACCTTATGAATGTTCCCATTGTAAGAGAAGTTTCTCTCAATGCGGTAGCATGGTCATTCACACTAAACAGCACACTTCTGAAGAACCGTATCAATGTCACATTTCTGATGAGAAATTTGCGTTGAGAAAACAACACGCAACTCATGTAATAAGCAGTAGAAAAGAAGATGACGACTAAATGCTATTGGAAATTTAGTTTAAATTTAGTTTCATATAGGTCATTCATTTTAGCAGTAGTTTTACGTATCTAGTTTTATATTTACAATTAGAAATAATAAAGATTTACCGCTCATTTAGTGTATATTTTACTTTATAGGTATATATCGTTTATTTAACGAGGGGCAAACATAATTTAACCTATCTCAAGATTATTAAATTGCGGACAACAACAATGATGGTGAAGATTATGATTCTGGCGACTGCGACTGACATTTTCAGTGGTGTAATTATTGCCTGCGTTGTCAATGCAGTAGCATTGAAGATGTCAGCTGCAGTTGTCAACGAAACGTCTGGGCCTAACAATTTATTTAGACCACGGTCCTTCAGCCCGAATCATAATTCTACCATGAATTTCGATCGTGAAACCTTATGTTCTTATACTAACAGGTAACTTAATACACAATTCGAAATTTCAAGTAATAATTTCGAATTGTATTTATCTTAAAGATTTCACACCCGTCGAATTTTCTCTAAATTGAGGGTAGATTCCTATACTTTAAATAGCGGACCGAGAAAACCTCAATGAAGTTGAATTTGTTCATTGCTTTACGTATTTTGTATTTTTGTGATGCCCTGGCTCAAGGTTCACATGCAGTGACTTGGTAGAGAATAAAGAAAATGATTGAGATTGATTAATATCTAACGCAATCCTATTTTTTCAGAATAATAAAGTTTAAAAGTGAAAGTTCAGAATCTTCATCAAACGAACTTAACCACGACGAATGGTCGCCGTTTAATCGCTACAAAAAGAAACAAAATCAAAAAATTAAAAGGAAATGGTCATGCGCAAGATGCAGGGAAGATTTCGACACAAGCACAAAGCTTCGCGAGCACAGGAAGACGCATCGAAAGGACAAATACGACGACACCCAGTACAGCTACAACTTCGATCCTGTCAAAGACATATACAGTTGTATCACGTGCGACATGGAATGTCCGTCAAAAAGAGAGATCGAAAAGCACGTCCTTACTCACAAAGACCATTTCTCATGCGAACAGTGCGATTTGTTCTTCGATGAGCCTTACAAGTACGCCACTCACGTGCACATGCACAGCGACGACAATTTATTTCGATGTCCTCTCTGCGATGTGTACAAAACCCCAAATCGCACTTGTCTCCTCACTCACATTAACACGTTCCATCTTCATCGATTCATATACAGATGTTCGACGTGCGGCAAGGGTTTCAACGACTGCGTCCAGTTCAAAGAGCACAATAACATCCACGAAGGTTTGAAACCGTTCGAGTGCGTCGTCTGCGGCAAGGGGTTTCCGTTCTCCCTCTATCTGCACACGCACCAAGTTCGCAATCACAGGGCAACTATAGACGGAGTGCTCGGGATCAACCAGTGTTATATCTGCATGAAAAACTACGTCAATACCAGAACGTTGCAGAAGCATATGCTTAAGCACAGCAATAAAGAAAAGAAGAACGACGAAAAAAATCACCTGTGTGACATATGCGGAAAAGGGTTCGCTAGAAAGGATAAGTTGAAGATACACTATAGGGTTCATACGGGAATTAAACCCTACAGTTGTTCGTATTGCCCGAAAAGCTTCACCAAAAGGGATTATCTGGTGATGCACGAGAGGGTTCACAGTGGTGAGAAACCCTATGCCTGTGAATATTGCGGAAAATGTTTCAACCAAGGCGCCCCTTTAAGAGTTCATATAAGAGGTCATACGGGAGAACGCCCTTACGTTTGTCACATTTGTAATTCCGGATTCACATCGCGCGGTGCCTTAAACATACATCTGAGAGGTTGTTCGGGACATAACAGCCCTTGAGAAACGAAACTGGGCTTTTCACGACTTCTGAAGTGTCAGGCTTATTTATAAGATTATTGCCAGTTGTTGAGTTTGATCTTGTAACGCCTTTCCAATAAATTCGACTTAATTTTACTATAAGATTCCTATTTAATAGTATTTTTGTAGGTAGACATTAATATAAATAAAAAAAATATAAAACTAATTACGTAATAGGTACACTATAGATAAGCACTTAAGTTATAACAAAAATACAGAATCATTTTTACAATCAGTAATATTTATTTATATACTTATTGTTATTTAATAAAGAGTTTGTACAATAAACTAAAAAAAAAAGATACTCATTGAAGTAAATCACTTGATGTAATTTCTGTTTGTACCATGTTAATTTGTATTTTGTACATGAATTAATAAAATTATAATTATTATAAATTTTTAGGGAAATAAAAGTAGAGTCGGAATTAGACGACGATCAGTGGACCCCGAGAACACGGCGGTCTAAAAAGAAACCGAAACAGAAAATCAAAACTTGGAATTGCACCAAATGCGACATGCAATTCGATACCAGAACAAAATTTCGCGAACACAAAAGAACTCACAAAAAACAACAAACCCTGGACGACAGTCACTACAGTTACACTTTCGACTCCACAAAAGACGTGTACAACTGCATAACGTGTGACTACGAATGTCATTCGATAGACGAAATAAAACAGCACGTTTCTCTACACAAGGACCGTTTTACATGTTCAACGTGCAATGTGCAGTTTGAAGAACCTTATGAATACGCCACACACGTAAACGTTCACACCGGAAACATCGATTTTAAATGTCCTTTGTGTGACGCATACCAGACGGCTAGTCGCAACTCTCTCCTTATTCACATCAACACGTACCATTTAAAAAGGTACTATTATAGGTGCAACACCTGCGGCAAGGGTTTCAACGATTGCGTCCAGTTCAAAGAGCACACCAATAACGTGCATCAAGGTTTGCGTCCTTTCAAGTGTGTTGTGTGCGGTAAAGACTTCGTCTTCTCCACATATCTCCATACCCATCAAATACGTAATCACAAAGTCATTATCGACGGAATTATCGGTACAAATCAGTGTTACATTTGCCTCAGACGTTGTGCGAACCTGCGCACCTTACAAAGACACATTAAAAAACATGAAAACCGAGTGAATCTGAAGAGGAACGAAAAGAGACACTTGTGTGACATATGTGGCAAAAGGTACGACGTCAAGGCGAAACTGGATACCCATTATCGTACGCATACAGGAGAGAAACCTTTTGCATGTTCGTACTGCCCGAAAAGCTTTACCAAACGCGAATATTTGACAATGCATGAAAGGGTTCATAGTGGTGAGAAACCCTACGCTTGTGAGTACTGTGGAAAGTGTTTCAATCAAGGCGCACCTTTAAGGGTTCATATACGAGGTCACACCGGAGAACGACCTTACATTTGCCACATTTGCAACACCGGATTCACGTCCCGAGGGGCTTTAAACATACATCTTAGAAATTGTAGCGGAGGAGGGAAATGTTAAACAATTTCCACCCTTAAAAATGTTATTATTTTTTGATAATATAGCTGTATTTACGATAATAAAATTTGTGTCATTATTAATTCTTTGTTTAGAGTTAAAATGTTTTCTATAGGTAGGTGGTATACCTACACTGTTCGCTGTTGCTGTTGTGGACATTTCAGGCAATAAAACAGTTGTAAGTTACTAACGCGTGGTATTTTTTCAGGATCAAGTTCGAAATAAAGAACGAGTCGCCTAAAATGATGACTTACGATGAAATAATGCCCCACAAGAAGAACAAACTGGAAGGGAAAAATAAGAAAAAGTGGGGCACGTGGAAATGTAGCAAATGCAGTGAAGTGTTTTCGACCAGTAGCCTTCTTAAGAAGCATCGAAAAGTTCACGTAAAACCAAAATACGACGACATTCGGTACAGTTACAACTTCGACGTTTCTCGAAACATTTACAACTGCGTGACATGTGATTACGAATGCGAAACGGAAGAGGAAATACAAAAACACGCGATCACTCATAATGAGCACTTCACATGTAAAATGTGCAATAAAAAATTCTACGAACCTTACAAATACGCCACTCACGTAAACACGCATACGGGCGATGAAAATTTCAAATGCCCCCTTTGTCTGACGTACGAAACGCCCAGGCGAGTTTACCTCCATTCGCACATAAAAACGTTACATTTGCGGCTGTACCATTACCGATGCGCCACCTGTGGTAAAGGTTTCAACGACACAGTTCAATTCAGAGAACACAAAAATGTTCACGAAGGTATAAGACCGTTCAAGTGCGTCGTGTGCGGCAAAGATTTTCCCTTTTCGATTTACCTCACGACGCACCAACAACGATGTCACAAAGTCACAATTGACGGGGTCATTGGTACCACGCAATGCTGTATCTGCTTGCGTAGATACGCCAACGTGCGCACCTATGAGAAGCACATGAAAAAACACGAAAACGACGACAAGAAAAAGAAGAAACCGGAAAAACGACATTTGTGCGACATTTGTGGTAAAGGATACGCAGTTAAAGAGAAGCTTGTCATACATTATCGCACTCATACTGGTGACAAGCCTTTCACATGTTCGTACTGCCCAAAAAGATTTACCAAGCGCGATTATTTAGTAATGCACGAAAGGGTTCATAGCGGCGAGAAACCGTATTCGTGCGAATTTTGTGGAAAGTGTTTCAACCAAGGGGCACCCTTAAGGGTGCACGTCCGAATGCACACCGGGGAGCGTCCCTATATTTGTCATCTTTGCAACTCTGGCTTCACTTCACGTAGTTCCCTAAGCCTGCATTTGAGAAATTGCAATGGTTCATGAAGTCCATTACGTACAAGCGCGCTTCAAAAAGATTAAAAATATTAATGAGTAGACAACTTCAAGATCATTTAACAGCATTGATGTAGTTAATGTTACTATAGTTAAGTCGAAAAAAGGTGAGCAAGTCGGTAATAAATCACAAGTGAATGTAGATAGATCGTCGCATTCACTTTAACTTACAAGCGAGATACTCGGACAGGTTGCAGTCACGCCCCTCCATACACACACACCCACCCACCCTAATCAAGGACTAACGTTATAGAGATGTATGCAATACAGAAAGAGAGGTCCGATAGAAAATATGTCGCGTAAATGCACTTAGTAACGCATTGTGTGAGACAAAACGCTTCGAGAATATCGTGAGAGAGAAGGAGATAATTAAAAATTAAAAAGGAAGACTCACCCCCTAAGTACCACAAAAAACTCAGTCTCAGTCAGGCAGTCCGCGTTGATAATGTCCACATATGAAGTGGGCGAAACACGTGTCCGCTCAAAAAAGTTTTTTGTGATAATTAGGGGTGAATATTCCTTTTCAATTTTTAATTAATATTTACCACAGTCTCCTCTTTCTACTTAGAGAAGGAGATGCCTAAGCGTGGCCTACAGATAGGAATCAAACATCCTGTGCTTCCCACATCCTTGTCTATTTCATGGTCATACTGTAGCACGTCGGTGAGTGGTTACTAGGGGCGTTCTCATACCTTATGCGTATGTCTATACTCACTTGTAATTTATTGCCTATTTGCTCATCTTATTTCGACTTGCCTATACATACCTAATCCAGAAATTGATATATCTACATGTTCCATTGAAAATCTGTTTTAAAGAATGTTAAATATGTAATAGATGTTTATTTAATGTAATATATGTATGTATTCAATCTATGATGTACCAAGATTGCAATTAAATAAAGTCTCTATAAATCGTTAGCGTTCCAATTGAAGAAAGACCATTTTTTTTTTTGGGTTTATCATGTACCTACACATGTAATAATACTATTTAACTAGGGCAACTTTTTCAGGCTGTCGTCAATGATAAAAAGTGAGTCTTCCTGCGACGAATCGTGGATACCATTGAGTATAAAACGGGAAAAACAAAAAAGGAGAAGGAAGTCCCCAAAAATCTGGAGCTGTGCCAAATGCAACGCGAAATTTGATAAGAGCACCCAATTTCGCGACCATCGGAAGGTACACAAAAAGCCAGTGTATGACGATTCACAATACAGCTACACGTACGATCCTGTAAAGGAAACCTACAACTGCGTGACGTGCGACTTGGAAGTACCTTCCAAAATCGAAATCCAACAACATGTTAAAAGCCATAAAGAACATTTTACCTGTGACATTTGTAATTTACAATTCGACGAACCGTACAAGTACGCTAAACATAGCATCATCCACTCGGACGACAAAACCTTCAAATGCCCGATGTGCGAATCGTTTAAGACCAAAGCTCGGACTTCGTTACTCGCCCATATCAACACGTTCCACCTTCACAGATATTTCTACAGGTGCACCACGTGCGGCAAAGGTTTCAACGATTGCGTCCAGTTCAAAGAACACAAGAACGTGCACGACGGGGTGAAACCTTTCAAGTGCGTCGTTTGCGAGAAAGATTTTACATTCTCAAATTACTTATTCGCCCATCAAGTGAGAAATCATAAGGTTACGATCGATGGCGTCATCGGAACGAATCAATGTCACATGTGTTTACGAAGATTCGCCAACATACGGACTTTGCAGAAACACATGAAGAAACACGAAAACGAAAAGAAGAAGAAGCCCGAGAAGAAACACTTGTGCGATATTTGCGGGAAAGGGTACGCAAGAAAAGCGAAGTTCGTAGTTCACTATCGAAATCATACCGGTGATAAACCTTTCAAGTGTTCTTATTGCTCCAAACGGTTTACCCAGAAGGAATACGTCGTGCTTCATGAACGAGTCCACAGCGGGGAAAAACCTTACGCCTGTGAATTTTGCGGGAAGTGCTTCAATCAAGGGGCGCCGCTCAAAGTACATATACGAACGCATACGGGAGAGCGCCCCTTTAACTGTGAAATTTGCGATGCTCGGTTCACTTCCAAGGGTTCGCTAAATTTACATTTCAAAAAGTGTCCCGGAAAATACTGGTACCAATAGGCTTTTGTGATCGCCATTAAATTTTATTTAGAATGTTGATTTTTTTTATATGCCTGTATAATAAAATGCTTTTTTCGAATGCTGTAGCTATTTCTTATAAATAAGGAATTTATTTAACTGAGTATGTAGGTAGTTGTTTTCTCCCTTACTAACGTTTAACCCTTTTTTTCCAGAAACGTAACGATCAAGAAAGAAGATTCGGAAAACGAAGATTGGAAACCGCCTACAACTTCTAGGTTCAAATCTTTGAAATCGAATTACAAGTCAAGATGTAGCAACGATTGGTCACTGGTTAAAAAGAAACAAACCAGAATGAGAAGAATATGGAAATGTACCAAGTGTCCCGAAGAGTTCGATACAAACAGAAAGTTGCGCGTTCATAGAAAAATCCATCAAAAAAACAAATACGAAGAAACGAAGTACAGCTACATTTTGGACACGGTAAAAGACATTTACTGCTGCATGACTTGTGACGTAGAGTGCACTACAAAAGAAGACATTCAAAGACACGTGTTGACTCACGAGGAGCATTACACGTGCGAGATATGCAACTTAACATTTTCCGAACCTTACAAATACGCAACACACATGTTCGTTCATAGTAAAGATCATTTCTTCAAGTGTCCGCTTTGCGACTCTTACAAAACCCCGAAGAGAACCTGCTTGTTGTCACACATCAATACTTTTCACTTGAAAAGGTTTATTTACACTTGTTCCACCTGCGGCAAAGGTTTTAACGATTGCGTCCAGTTCAAAGAGCACAACAACATTCACCAAGGGATTCGTCCGTTCCAGTGTATAGTTTGTGGTAAAGATTTCCCGTTTTCGGTCTACCTTCACACCCATCAGGTGCGAAACCACAGGGTTTCGATCGATGGCGTCATCGGTACGAATCAGTGTTATGTGTGCATGCGCAGCTGTGCCAATCCGCAGACCCTCAAGAGACACATAAAGAAACACGCAAAAGAGGGCGAAAAGGGCGGTCGCGAAAAGAAGCACTTGTGTGACATGTGCGGGAAGGGATTCGCGGTCAAGTACAAGTTGATTTTACATTATCGCACCCATACGGGGGTGAAACCTTACAGCTGTTCGTACTGTGCGAAGAGCTTCACTAAACGTGACTATTTAGTAATGCACGAACGAATTCACAGCGGGGAAAAACCGTATTCTTGTGAGTATTGCGGTAAATGTTTCAACCAAACCGCCCCTCTCCGGGTGCACATACGCAGTCATACGGGAGAACGCCCCTTCGTTTGTCACATATGTAACAGTGGGTTTATTTCGAAGGGCTCTCTTAATATTCACATTAAGCGGTGCACCGGAAATGATTACACAGTATAAAAGGAAATGTATTATATCTCTTCAGAATAAATTGATTCATTGATTGATTATAATTGCGACACTTGTGTGACAATACATCGTGGTTTCGTTTTTGATTTGAATGAAATTTAGTCTTAATTTCGTAAGTAACCTTCGCTATAGAATAAACAATTGTTCTTCGTAGTTAAATTAATTGTGTAATTATTCTACTTGATCAATATATATCAATAAAACGTAATATTGTTTAAATAATACTTACCACAAGAACAGTAACATAACACACCTTATCAATTCCACGATCGCCTTATACCTATAAGGGATGGCTTTGTATCCAAAAAACGAACAACTGTGTGTATGTATAAAAGGAATAATAAAATTGATACAAAAACATTCATATGTATATATTTTTTTGATTTTGTCCATGTAAGAAGGTATTAAAATATAAATAGTTACGTAAACTGTATTTGTTTTTAGGAATATGTTTGTATTTATTGTTAAGAGATGGCATGTCCATGATTTTCGGTATCTATTGTATTATGCTCATTAATAAACACATGTTCCAACGTTTATTTAATTTTTTTAATAAAGGTTTTTCTTAATAACAAAAAATATCTTTCAGAATACTACACGTGAAAACTGAGGATGAGGAAGACGGTATGGTGCAGAACGGTCATTTCTTACGTACAACAAACGAGACCAGAAAAAAACGTATTTGGACGTGTAAAAAATGCAAAGAAGCCTTCGAGACGTGCCGGCTGCTTCGGGTGCATAGGAAAGTTCACAGGAAAGAAAAAATCGACGACACCCAATACAACTATTACTTCGACAAGAACAGGAATATTTACACTTGTAGCACTTGTGACGCCGAATTTTCGTCAAAAGAAGAAGTAGAGAAACACGTGGTCAGTCACAAGGAATGTTACACGTGTATGACATGCGACTTGAGCTTCGATGAGCCGTACAAATACGCAATTCATATGCATATTCACAGTGACGATCGCATGTTTCGTTGTCCTTTGTGCAACTCGTACAAAACATCGAAAAGAACGGTTCTGATGACTCATATAAACACTTACCATCTCCGTAGGTTCATCTACAAATGTAAAACCTGCGGCAAAGGTTTCAACGATTGCGTCCTGTTCAAAGAACACAGCAATATTCACGCGGGGGTGAAACCGTTCCGTTGCATCGTTTGTGGTAAAGATTTCCCGTTTTCCATCTATCTTCACACGCACCAAGTGAGAAACCACAAGGTTTCCATTGAAGGAGTCATAGCGACCAATCAATGTTGCGTATGTCGAAGGCGATACGCCAACTCTAGAACCTTGGAGAAGCACATGAAAAAGCACGAAACCGTAGAGAAAAAGAGCCCCGAAAAGAAACACTTGTGTGACATTTGCGGAAAGGGTTTTGCTAGAAAAGATAAACTTAAAATCCACTATCGGACCCACACGGGAATTAAACCGTACGCTTGTTCGTATTGTCCGAAAAGATTTATCAAACGGGATTATTTGGTCATGCACGAGAGGGTTCACAGCGGCGAAAAACCGTATTCGTGCGAATACTGTGGAAAGTGTTTCAATCAAGGAGCACCACTCAGGGTTCATATACGAACACACACGGGGGAAAAACCTTATGTGTGTCATATTTGTTCAGCGGCTTTCACATCAAACGGAGCGTTGAAATTGCACTTGAAAAGCTGCCCAGGAATGAAATAATTAGAAAAATTATATAGGTACATATTAAAAATTTAGTTAAATATACTTTGTGTAACGTTGGTTAATTTAGATTAATAAAATATTTGGTTCAGGAATACATTTACAAATCCTATGGTATAAAATGGTGTAGTAAGAAATCTTAACTTAGTTTTGTGTTAAACAATTATTTCTATATGTTATTAAAATTAAAATGATATTGATCATTGAACCCGTTATTTCATTTAGGTAGATTCTTCTCAAAAACTGTAACAAAGGTAAGATATAATTAGATGCTTTTATTCATTATTAATTAAAACGAAATATGCTAACGAATATATAATTTTGTAGTTAGGACAACATTTAATTTTAATCTTAAGTGTTTTCTTCATTCATCAGCTGCCAGTAATTCAACCTAACTCTCTTATAATTCCCCAAAACATTAACCAAAACTTTAGTAACATTTCAATAAAAACCACTCAGGAACTTAAAACAGAATAAGAAGACGAAACTGTTGAGCGACGATGCAATCTTATTAAACCTACAATTCCACTGAGATCTACTGAAACCATAAAGTCTGATAAAGTCCCACCTCAAAATATGTTCATGCATAGCAATGTTCATTCAAAAATGTTGATATGCAAACTAAACACAATCAATCCAGCATATTCAGTGGCCTCTTGTTCCTTAAGGATCTACTCCCTGTCCCCAAATATGAACACTAAACAGAATGAATCAACAATCCATTTCTCAGCATCAATCAGTGCCTTCTTTGCCTTAAATTTGATTATAATAAGTATGTCATTAAAGTTTTTCTTAACTCTTAAATAGTTTTTTTATTTCCTTATCACTGACAACATCATTAAGGTAAGATGAGATTAAATGCTATTAATTCTTTACCAAAGATTTATTAACCAAAATTTGCGCTTTCCTTTAATTAACTAGCAGTTAAGTTGTTGGATTGGAATCATTGATAATATAAATGTTTTAATTGACTTTAATTTTTATTTCAGGTTATGCTTTCCTCAGGTGAATCTAGAACCTTACGAAATAAATTATAACGAGACACGTATAGCTCAGAATAAATCACAACAGTTTCAAAACTCAATCGCTAACAGTCTATTAAGTTCCGAAAGAAATGATTTTGATATCATTTCAGTGAAAAGTATTAAAGAATTGATAGACAAACAAAATAAAAAAATCGTTGAACCGCAAAGTAATCCTTTTGAAAACGTTACATATTCTCATATAATATTTCAAGAGGAAGAAGCCAAACCATTGTTAGTACAATCTGATGATATATCTCAGAAAAATAAAGAAATCACTGATGAACCCCAAAGCAATTCTATAGAAACTGAAGTTCATTTAAATCCTTATAAAAACGTTACATATTCTGAGATAATATTTCAAGAAGAAGAAGAAGAAACTAAACCAGTGTTGCTACAACAAAACATTGAAAAAAATATTGAACCTCGAAACTATTTTAAAGAGTCAGAAATTTGTCTTAGTTCTGTTACCAATTCGGATACGATACTTCAAGAAATAGAAGAAGAAATCAAGCCATCACTTGAACACATCAACTTCCTTTCACACCAACCACCTGTCTCTTCTTCTAACGTTCTTCATCAGCCTGTAATTCTCCAAAAAAACAATAGGAAGCAGTCTAGTTTTCAATTGAATTATGTTCAACAAGTAAATCCGCAACAAAAGCAATCAGCACAGAATGTTCAGAAGCCCCATGCAGTTCCTTTACAACCCAATGTCATTTTAATTCCATACCCTTCTTCCCAAACGCCTACAATTAAACCGGATCAGAAATTTATCCTACAAAATTTACCCACAATGAACATCACAAACCAGTTATTAATAAGAACTTCTTCAGGTCAAAGTGGACTGATTCCTATTAAACTTGTAGGTCCACTAACGTCTGTACCGTCGACATTTCAAAACCAAAACGTTTTATGTGCTAGAAATCCAAAAACTGCAAAAGGCAAGAAAAAGATTGAACAAAAGCAAAGTTTTCCCAAAACCTTACTACCAATCGCTCCAAAAGGTGGTGTTATTATTAACGGGACTGAAATAAAGGACTCTGCACTCCAATATAAGAATCCATTTGTTTATCCACCAACAGCACCAACAGTTAATCACTCTAGGTCGAGACCTGTGACTTCAGGATTTCGAACAAGAAAACGTTATTCCAGATGGTATTGCTACCTGTGCAAAAGAATCCTTCCTGGAAAAGAGGAATTGATTGACCATTACGAAGAGCACAGACGAGAACAATTAGCGTCGGGTAAGCCGAAGCAAAAAGCCCGTAAAATTGACATTCAGTATCACTTCCAATGTAAGGAATGTTTCCAAGATTTCTTTACATACGTCGCTTATTGCAATCACAACGATCAACAGCATAACAAAAAACAAATTAAGTGTCCAGATTGTACGAAAATGTGCAAAGACAAATTGGCCCTTTGCCTCCATGTCAACGAAGACCATCTTGACAGAATGGATTTCAAGTGTTCTGAATGCCCTTACGAATGCAAGGCCAAAAGTGATTTGATAAAGCATATGGATTGTCACAACTGGAGGAAGTATCAGTGTGAAGAATGTGATCACGTCCTTTCGTCTGCGACGATGCACAGAGAACATAGAAGGGAGCATGTAGGAGACAGTTTGTTTAAGTGTTTATGGTGTGAAGAGTCTTTCGTGTATTCTCACAAACTTATGGACCACATGAGAAAAAATCATGCTTCCGATGCTTTAGAATTGAAATGTAAACAGTGTGGCCAAATTTTTGGACAACAGAAAAGCTTTATTTTGCATAAGATGCGTTCTCACAATGCGGAAGAAACGTTACACCTATGTGACTCTTGTGGTAAATCGTTTCTAAGTAAAAGAACTCTTCATTCGCACATATTAAATAATCACCGAAAAGTCTATTCATGTACAACGTGTAACAAAAAGTTCACACATTCAAATAATATCAAGATTCATATGCGTTCTCACACTGGTGAAAAGCCTTTCAGATGTAACATTTGCACTAAAACCTTCACACAACGAGTCAGTGTGTTCAGACATTTAGCGTGTCACACTAGCGGGAAACCCTTTGAGTGTCCGCGATGCAAGAAGGGATTTGTTAGCAAGAACCTCTTCGTTGCGCATTTAAATAATAACCCCAACTGCCCTATTCGAAAAACTAAGCACAAGTACTTGACCCAAAAGTAAACAGTAAAAATTGAAATAGCAATAAGTGATGTTGTCTATATTCCGAAAGGCGTTTATTTAGTTTCTTTTTTCTATGAATCTTCGCTTTGATTTAGAACATGTGTGTATGTAGATTGAGATGCACTGTTCTGTGTTTGTGATTTAGTTTTTTAAAAAGAAAACCATGAAATCAAATGGTCACCAATTTTTTACCATCTATACAATGTTCTGTTTTTTTTTTGTTTCGAGGAATATCTTTATGTTTTGTGAAGATACTAAAACTTATCCTGTGCGCATATACTTTTTACTATTAGTGCAAACAGGTAGTTTAGTCTATCTGTGTAGGGATTTGCTAATGTGAATAATGTTTTTTTGTAAATATTTATGTAAATGTGGTGAATTAAACGAATATCTTTAGTCCTTCAATCCATTAGAGAATTATTTACTATTTACATTTAAAATTGAATTATTACTGTCTCATTACGTATGAGTTTTGTGTTAAACATAACACTGGAAAAGCTGTAGTAGTATGTTAAGTTGTGTTATAAAGAATTAAAATTATATTAATTCTTAAATGCGCTTTTTTCATGAACCCACTTCTCTCCAACAATATCAATAAGGTAAGGGAATATAAATACTACTTTATTTATTTGATTTAATAATTATTATTGTCTTAATTAATTTTTTTTTATTTCAGACTTTGCCTTCATAAGAATCAGTTAGAGCCTTACAGCATTTGGTACAACCCGGAATCTGTATCTCAGTCTAATCACTTCCAAAATAATGAGAAACGTTTTCATGTAGCTTCTGAAAAGACAGATAAAAGCTTTGGTGTCATTTCCGTAAAAACAATCCAAGACTTTAAGATTGAGCAAGAGGAAGAAATCAGTGAATCTCAAAATAATTCTATAGATTCCAAAATTTATCTTACTTCTGACGAAGATATTACCAAAACTGATACAATATTTCAAGAAGTAGAAACCAAACCATCTTTGGTGCATTCTTATGAAATATCTCAACAACCAAACACAACTTTTTCAGGATCGTCCCAAAAATTGCCCAGTACTTTACAGGAGTCATTACAACAAATCAATCAGACATTACCTTCTCCTTCTAATCATCAAAATTTGATTCACCAAAGTAATTTTAATATCCAAAAAACACACCCAGATTTTCAATTAAACTATTTTCCACAAATAAGTCAGCAGCAAGTACAATTAGCACAGAATATTCAGCAGCCGTTTGTAATTCCACATGGATCAACCCAACAATCCGATATTCGCAACCCTTCTTCTCAAATATGGGCATCAAACAACCCGAGTCAGCAGTTTGTCCTTCAAAATTTGCCTACACTTAACAACGCAAACCAGTTACTGATGGGAACATCTTCAATACAAGGCAGGATAATTCCAGTAAAACTTATAGGTCCTCTAACGCCAGTACCTTTACCATTTAAAAATCAAACTATTGTCCGTGTTAGTACAAATCCCAAAACTGCAAAAAATGTTCCCGCTCGTAAGCAGAAAGCAACCAGAATACGAAAGTCACAGTCACGTCAAAAATCTACCGAAAGTAAGAGAACAAGAAGAAAAATCGATCAAAAACGAATCACTAGTAAATCGTTACTACCAATCGCTCCAAAAGGAGGTACTATTATAAATGAAATTGATATAAGGAATACGAATTCCACTTCGGAATATAAAAATCCGTTCGTTTATCCACTCATAGTTGATCGCTCCAGACCTTTGACTCCAATACCTCGAACCAGAACAGATTTTTCTAGATGGAATTGTATTCTTTGCAAAAGAATATTTTCTGAAAAAGAAGAATTGATTGACCACTACGAAGAGCACAGGCAGGAACAATTAGTATCAGGGGCGTCGAAACAAAAAACCGATAAAATTCACATTCAGTACCATTTCCAATGTAGGGAATGTTCCCAAGATTTCTTTACCTACGTCTCCTATTGTAATCACAACGATCAACAGCATAACAAAAATCGAATCAAATGTCCTGATTGTACGAAAACGTGTAAGAACAAATTGACCCTTTGTCTTCATCTCAACGATATCCATTTTAAAAGTATCACCTACAAGTGCACAGAATGCACTTTTGATTGTGAAGTGAGAGCAGATTTGATAAAGCACATGGATTGTCACGACTGTTGGAAGCATTTCTGCGACCAGTGTGATCAAGTTCTATCCTCGGCCACTATGTACCAAGAACATAGAAGAGAACATGACGGAGAAGATTCATTTAAATGTTTGTGGTGTGATAATTCGTTTGTATATTCTCATACCCTAATAGATCACATGTGTGATAGTCATGCTTCAGACGCCTTAGAATTGAAATGTAAACAGTGTGGTCAACTTTTCGGGCAACAAAGAAGTTTAATTATGCATATGCGTTGTCACGATACGGAAGAAAACTTGTGCAACTCTTGTGGTAAATCGTTTCGAACTAAAAGACTTCTTCAGTCGCACATGGTGAGCGTCCACAAAAAAAGTTAGAAATTACTCATGTACGGTATGTGACAAGAAGTGCAAAATACTTAGTTGCTGTTTGTGAAATTATATTTTATTTAAAGTTTTATTGAAGTTAAGTTGCCTTATAAATGAGCCTTTTTATTTTAATGCATTTTTACTAAATGTCATTCATCTTCTTTTACAATTAATTGAATGTTGAATTTAGTAATAAATTAATAAATATGGATTTTTCTTTTACTGTTAATACTTTTTGCACTGCTCCATTTTCGTTTTTGTATGTTGTTTTTGTCAGATAAGCCAGGACTAAAGGAGTAGTAGGGATATAAAGTACAAGATAGCGTAGGGTCGAGTTGTCTTCAATTCAAAGAAGTAACTTCTACGCCCGCGAAAAGTTAATTTAGAAATTCGAAGAAGGTTGGTAAAGATGTATGTTTGGGGCACGGCGCTGTACAGGTGCGAAACATAGACAGTGGGCGTGGCGGAAAAGAAAAGGTTAGAAGCGTTCGAAATGTGGTGTTACAGGTGAATGATGAGGATACCATGGATAGAGAAGGTTAGAAATGAAGAGGTATTAGAAAGAATAGGAGAACATTGGACTTTATGGAAGACAATAAGAAATAAGCGAGATAGGTTGGTAGGACGCCTTTACAGGCATGAAGGTCTAGTCAGAGACGTATTAGAGGTAGAAATGGGAGTTAGGAGGGGTAAAGGTGGGCCTAGATTAGATTACTGTTCGCAAATAGTTAAGGATGGGGGTTGTTCTAGTTTTAGGGAAATGCAAAGATTAACTCAGGATAGGAAAGAGTGGAGGTGCGTGTCCAACCAGTTTTAGGACTGACGACCTTATGATGATCATGATGATGTTGTTGTTTTTGTGTTATACTGCATTGCGTATGCAATTTACAATTTTGAAAATGTCAAAGCAAAAAATTTTGAAAGGTAAATGTCAAAAATTACGCGGTTAATTTAAAAACGCCCTTCCAATACCGTGAAATGGTCATGGAGAGTTGGAATGTTCTGCCCTACACTCTGCTAGAAAAAGTTTATCATCTTTTACCTAGAAGAGATCGATTCGCCTGTTCGATGGTTTGCCAGAATTGGAGAGAGGCACTGGACTGTCCATCGCTTTGGAAAACGTTACCTATCAACCTTGACACAGATTTATTTGGTTAGTATATTCGTTTAACTCCTTCGTTATGATAATCTTCTTGTAAAGTTACCTATTTAGTTTAATATTCTTTCAAAGATCCAACCGTGTTAGTTCTAATGAGAAAATATCACCGATATTTCAATACACTTGAATTACGATGGGCGAATAATCATCCAAGATTAAGTTGGATGCAACAGAGGCCTGATATTGCTAGGAGAGCTTGCAAATTTTTAATGGTACTTTCCGAAACCAACATTCAGCTCCAATCAATCAAATTTGTCGATTGGTACGACGGTCGTAAATTGAAGAAGATGATCTACCACATTTCGAGGTTCTTAAAGTATGCCATTGTCGTCTTTACAAACAGCTTAGACGATTTAACATATTGTCTGTTATAGAAATCAAAAGAGTTTAATTAATGTGTCATTTTTTATGGTCAATTTTAACAAAAGCGATTGCACCAAACTTTTGTCGTGTTGCTTGGAAAGTCAAAAATCGATTAGAAACCTTGAAATGAGCTACTGCTTGTATCCACCCAACAACTCTCAAGAATATGTGATTTTGATCAGTTGTCTGGAATGTTTGAGTAACCTGAACTGTCTTAAGATTGACTATTCCTTTTTCATAAACGGCGTTCTGGAAGCCATTTTGCTCAGTAAAACAAAAACTTTGTCTACACTGGAAATTTACGTACGAGGCTATCCCAGTTTTCATGAAACTGTTTCCGACTCCGATTGGGACAAACTGAAGCAGCAGAATCCACAAATACGAGTTTCTTTTTATTTCGGTATGCCAATCAGCACTTCATAACTTATTACCTATTATTACTTGTTCTAATGATTTCAAGGATATGGGCTAGTGTAAATTCCTTGCAAAATACAGTTACGATCTCCTAGAGGTGCGTAAATTCCATTCGGGGTATTTTTGTTTTGTACGACCTTTTGTATTAGGAGGATAGTACATTTAAAAGTTATCCCAAATATGACAAATTGGTAACGGCTTTCGCGACCAATTGGTAAACTGAGGCTGTCCTGCTTCGGGTTTAAAACCGTTGTCAGTTGATATTGCTTCCATCTTCGATGCATATTCGGAAGAATCTCTGAAGAAGTTTGCTGTCGTGATAGCGAAACATTAGGAAGCAATCCAACTGACGGTCTCTAGAACTGAATCAGGACAGCGTCTGTCCCAAATATTTTTACTATCGACGCATTGCAATAAGATTAATATGTAGGTACTTCCTAATAAAACTGCAGAGACCTACATTAAACGCTTTAAATGGATCATGTTTCCGTACGAAATATTTTTGTGTAAGTAATTCATACAGCAATGCAATTTGTTTTAATTAAATTAAGGATAAAAAGTTATGTTTTCATCTAGGCTAAGCCTGATAACAAAAAATACAATCTTTTAGCCTTTCCACTTAATATATAGAATGAAATCAAAAGTAGTAAGTTTTTTTTTTTTAATTCCCGATGTCTTAAGGCTGTCGTTGACTATTTAATGGCATTTCTTCCGGGAGATCGACGAATAAATGATTTATATCCTAGAAAATTATATATCTGAGGAGGCAGCTTTTCCTCAAAACAATGGGTACAATTTCCTTGTTTCACTTACGAGAGCTACTAGTTCATTTCTTTACTATATCATTGAATTTAAATGCAGGAATTTACGTATGGCAATAAAAATCTTCAGGACGGAATTTACGTTTTCCGATAAATATGTTCGCTTGCTATCGTATAATAATTCTGGGTTTTCTAATTTTTAATGCTTGTTATTAGTAGTTGTATCTTTTCATAAGTTTTTATTATAGTTTCCTTTAGTTGAGGTATGTCATTTTGAAGAAATCAGTGTGGTACTTAGGGAAGTAATACCAGTTGCGACAATTTCCCTTAGTTGCGGAAAAATGTGGGATCAGTCAAGAAGCAGACAGTACAGAAGAACCCTTCAACTTATAACCCGGTATTATCGAAGAACATTAGGTTAGAAAAAGAAAAAAACAAAAAGGCTTAAGAATTGCAGATTTTAAACTGCTGTAGTTTCTTTTTTCAGAAAATCTTTACATACATATAAAATTTAATAAGGAAATCTTGGACGATGTTTTAATTGGAATGTTCCAAAAGTGTACAAAACTGCAGCACTTTGAGTTTAGTGGAATTGTGCAGAATTTAGAACTAATTAAAGAATTATTTGAGACGCATAGTAACAATAAATCTGAAATAGGTAAAGCGTCTTTTATTCGGTAATTGCATAATAATGAATTTTGTTTAACTTTCATAGGTTTCTCGTCAGTTCGTGTATGTCCAAAAAAATTAGATCCTTCAAGTCAATGGTATATCGAAAAACTATTCGATTATTTTTCAGAAATAAAACAAAAAAGGCCGTTTGAATTCGAGGTTTCTGAAACACACTACGACAAATGCGTAGTATACATGTATAACTAACTAATTAAACAGATTTTTTATCGGAGTTTTTTTTATTGTAATCTGTAATATTAAGGCAATAGTGGGATACTAGGTAACAGCGTGATGTCTTTGAGCTTGCCCTTGTTTACAGCATTTTCTCGTAGTTTGCGTTCGGTTGTCGGTGAGTGTGGTGCCTGTTATCAACCGCTGGGCCGAGAATGAACTTCAGAAAAGATAGGTCTTAATTATTTTATAGTAAAGTATATACATGTAACACACAATTTCCTTGACGGGAAAAACTATGAAAGATTAATGAAAAACTCATTTAAACTTTTCATTAATTTTCATAGTTATTCTTTATAGTTCTTCTCCATATAAAAATCTCGAACTTGCATAAATTCATATGATAATTATTTAGGAAAAAGAGAATGACTACATTATTGTTATACAACAAACCCCAGAAACCCATTATCGTATAAAAAAATATATTTTCTTCGGAAATAGAAAATTGATTTATAAAAACTGTTTGGGTTAATTTTTANAAAAAAATTGACAAAGAAACATAGTTTGTCATCATTTCTTGACGCGATTTTTCAGAAAATTTCATCATTTCCATTGGGTCATTTTCATAAAAAATTACACAATTTTCATGTCAGTCATACTTTTTCATATATGTAACTTCTTCAGAAATCCTGGAAAATCTTATTTTTTTCTATCATTTTCCATGGAAAAATGATTGTTTTCTATGATTTCCAGAATTTCTTAGAATTTTTCGTAGTTTTTCATATTTTTTCAATCAGGATTAATCTTAAAATTGGGATTATCACGTCTTGAGAATATTTACTTGATTAGAATTCCTTCAAATGATACCTGCACAATAAAAATATTTTGTAGTTTCGCCTATGAATTTGCTTATTACTAGAATTTTGTACAAAATTTGTTTATATTTGTGATTTTTCCAATTGATGTTGACTTAAAAAAACAATTTTCTTATAGTACTTGATTTCACTTTTTTTTATCCTGTTTATTTTGTACTTTTTGTACTTTCTTTTTTGAATTTGCAAACTTTTATTTAAATGAAAACCCTACTTCGCCCATGTAGTATCTTTCTTTACTTCAATTTTTACAAGGTGTAATTTGCATGTAGAAATACTTATCACAAACTTTGCATTAAAAATGCGGCACATATGTATGTAGGTATGTTTGTTTTTTTGTATGAATGGTTTATGACTAACAATTACTGAAAATTTCTCAATCATTTTTATATTACAAGTACCTACCTACCTACGGTTCCTGAATTTCACCTGAAATCTCACTATAAACATATTTTAATTAGTCGTTTTTATACTTTTTTGGCATAGTATGAATCTATGTTATTTTTTTAAGATTCACAAAATATTAAAACTCAACATTTAAGAGTGTTTGATATGTATATTTCTTTAATTGATATAGAGCTTTAAAGTTTAGGTATCTACGTACCAATAATAATTTTATTATAGTTATTTCCAATCAGTACCATTTCTTACATATTTTACATATAGTAATATAAAAACAATCGAAGTATTTGCAAGAAAAATTAACCCATTTGATGTTATAAATTGCGTATATAACATATATCATTTTAGTATGGTACCTACTGTACATCATTTGGCCAGAAGTTACTTTTATTTGAAGGGTAAAATGCTTATTTAAGCTCGAAAGATATAACATCTTTGTTTACTGTTAAATTTTATCTACGATGGACACAGTTGTAGGACATTTTTTGTGCGCGATGACTTCATAATATTTCATATGATTTCTTTTTATCAGACAACTTAATCTTTTTAATACAAATACACAAAAATGTGCCTTCAAAATGTTTTAATAATTACGTTTATTTTTACTTCAAGAAAATTTATTGTAAAAATTTTCATTCTGCACCGTTAACCTGCAATAATTCCCTAAGGAAGCTCATAATTGTGAATAAATCGGAGAATATTAAAGTAATAAGTCATATTCACTCGATAAATTCATAATATTTCATATGATTTCTTTTTATCAGACAACTTAATCTTTTTAATACAAATACACAAAAATGTGCCTTCAAAATGTTTTAATAATTACGTTTATTTTTACTTCAAGAAAATTTATTGTAAAAATTTTCATTCTGCACCGTTAACCTGCAATAATTCCCTAAGGAAGCTCATAATTGTGAATAAATCGGAGAATATTAAAGTAATAAGTCATATTCACTCGATAAATTCAAGAAATGCGTAATTTTCTTTGTTCTTGTATTATTTAATATTATTAGTAAGGATGATAATAAATACCTACATTTTACTTGGCATTACAGCTAAGAATTGTTTCAAAAATTCCTTTTTTTTAACGATTATTTATTTCTTATG